CCCGTGGCGGACCGGAGGGTTATCCGAGGTCTTCTTTCGCGAGAAGTGTATGATCTCTGTTTTGTCAGGGTCGAATTCGATAGCGTTGTCGTGTCCCCATTGATTAAGCGAGTAAAGGCTTTTAGAAGCCTCCGCGGCTGTTTCTTCAAGGTCCTTTCCAATGCAGAGAGTCGCCACGTCGTCTGCGTATCCAAAGCGTCTCCTTTTTACACCAAGCCGGGCACAGATTGGCTCTGTATATAGCATGTAAAGGATTGGGGAGGCCGGTGAGCCTTGTGGTAGCCCACAAGTAAGAGCTTTTACATCGGTCACGATACCTTCAAACCGGACCCTTGCGGACCGCTCGGACATGAATGACTGAACCCATCTTATAAGAAAGCCCGGCCAGCCCTGTTCTCTCATACGGACCACCAGTCGTCCCACTAGGGCAGCGTCGAAGGCGCCTTTTACATCTGATGTGACTACCGTTGCAACGAGGCCTTGGTCGAGGGCCTGTTCGATGTCGTGTATAGTGCAGCTACCAAGTCGGTGGCAGAGCGCTTCGGTAGAGCTCCAAAATGTTGTGGGGCTAGAATTCCGAGTTTAATAACAAACCAGGCGATTCTTTTCGCGATAAGTCGTTCTAGGCCTTTGCCAAGACATGACAGCAGCGATATTGGTCTGTAGGCCCTGGGGTTGGAATAGTCTTTCTTGCCTGGCTTTGGGATCATCACCACCTCAGCTATTTTGAATGGTTTAGGGTGGTGTCCGATCTGTAGACAGGTCTGGAAAAGGGCTCTGATATGTTCCCCGATGACCGGCCAGCAGGCTTTTAGAATCCGTACTGTGAGGGCGTCTACTCCCGGGGAGTTGCTCTTGGTCCCCACAGTGCACCCTTCGGCCTCTTCTAGTCCGACGTGGTATTCGAGGGGGATGTGTGGCTTGGGTTGTGCGATCTGAGCGGACCAGGGGTCGATGATATCGTTACCTGGGGTACTTCGCTCGAGCGTGGCTGAACGTAATGCATTCGCCTTGCTCTCTTGTGACTCGAACGTTCGGCCTCCTATGATTATCGGGGGGAAACGCAGTCCCACTGATAGCTTGTGCCAGGAAACGATTCTGTATACGTCCTTTGGTTCGGTTGCTGAATCGATCAGAGTCCTCCAGTGCTCTCTCCTGGCTTTCCGGACCACGCGGCGAAAGTCCCGTCGAGCCGAATTCCGCCCTTCTTGGCTTGCGGTCTGTTTGGAAAAGGCCCTGTATGTCTTAACAGCTGCTTTGCATTCGTCATTCCACCAAGCAGTGGGCCTAGATTGTCGGGGCTTCTAGCCCACTGTCCTGACGCAGCCTTGGATCACGTCGGTCAAGCTCTGCGTAAAGGCATCCACCTGGCCAGGGGATGCACCCAGCCGGGGGAGCTCGTGAGTCCTGTTTTGGACATTATCAACCAGCTCTTGTAGTTTATCGTCCGGTACTATCCATCGATCGGCCTTGGGGACCCGGTCCAGGTCTCCCTGAATTGGAACGACTATTTGTAATGTCTCGTGGTCTGAGGTGCACTGGAGTGCATTATTCACCAAGGCTTCGGCCATGGGGACATCTGAGAAAACCAGATCCAGTACGTTTCCGTCGTCATGTGTCGGGACATCTGGCTCTGAAATCAGATCCAGTCCGTGATCTGCCATAGTCTGCGCGAGTACAGCACCACCATGATACCCTGGATTGCTCGAGTCCCAGGATGTGTCGCTAGCGCTGAAATCTCCGGCTATGACACAGCCAAAGGGTGGAGTCCATACTTCTAGAATGTCGTCTACTTCCTGCGGATTGTTGCATGGTCGGTAGACGCTAGCAAATATAATGCCTCGTACCTTAACCCAAGTGATATCTCGTGTGGCGTAAGGCCGAAGTTGATCCGCTTAAAGGTGTTTTCTTACATAGATGATAGATCTGGGCCGTGTATTGTCGCTGTCCTAGGAATCGACCGGGGAATATATATCATAGTTTGGGTGCGTTTTTACTCCCATTCTCCTGCCTGGTGGTATGCCGACCCAGGGCTCTTGCATTAGAATGATGTCCGCTTGCTCTCCTTTATAATCAGCCAGGTTAATGGCCAACTCCGTAGGGCCGGCACTCCTTTGTCCTCCCGCCGCATTCACGGAATGAACGACCAGATGTCCGTGTCGATGTTTTTCCTTTGGTATACCTAGCATTGACGGACAACAATGGTGTCGGCGTCCCTGGGATCAGCTGTATTTGTCGTATCGACTTGCATTGTGGTGTCTTCGCTGCTATTGCTAGGTGTTGACTCAGCTTGGGTCCTGCCTGCTTCGTTGAAGGCCCTGGATCTGGCTCTTTCTCCAGCCAGCCTTATCTCCTGAATTTGCTCCCATGTGGGCTTGTGGATGATACCTTTCACGATCTTGGGGCGTGCAAGGCATTTGTCGAAGTCGGCAGCATGGGGCCCCTTGCAGTTAACGCATTTTGGGATTGGTATTTCGCACTCCCCCTGGTGTACCGCGCTGGCGCAACGTGCGCATACTTGCTTCTCACATCGGTAGTTCCTACCATGGTATCTAAAGCAGCTTGCACACTGGTAAACCTTGGGGGGGTATTGAATACGCCTCGAGGTCATCGAGTGAGCAAAAAGCGTGAATGGTCTTTTTGCTGCACGGGGCAGAGAGATCAGCCATGTGGTCTCCGGATCGGAATCAACCGTGTTCCTTGAGATTATGCACCTTAAAGGTCTGTCGCCTGTTTGGGCTTCGACTTCGTCAGCGACAGCAGCGTCGGTAATGTCGATTGTAAACCCTTCCGCACTTATAACCTTCCTTGGGCATCCATCGACCTTGTAGTGATGCCAGACCGTGTAGGTCTCGATCTTTTGCGCCTTAAGAATGTCGGCGATCTCTTCTTGGAAGGCCATGAGCTTAGCCTGAGTTGGCTTGTCCCTTGGGTGTAAGGTAAATCCAGAGGGGCACCGCGTCACCTCTCTAAGCTCCTGGGGGTGGAGCTTAAGTATTCTGTTCAGTGTAGACTTTACCCCATAGGGCTCTAAGTGGCTGTTATCCATGCGGACAAAGACCCGGAGATCCTCTTGCTTCTTCTTCTTCAGTTGGTCGGCACCGGTGAGGGCGCCAGGCTGTGCTCTCTTCATGGTAGTATTGACTGTTAGTGGATGCTGTCGGTGGCTAGAAGAGACGGCTTGGGCAAAAGTCATGATGGGCTTCCCCGTCCCCCCGGAAGTGGCCTTCCTTATGGTCGAATCTCGGGTTTCCAGCCACTCGCTCAGGCATTTAGAGAAGAAGGCGCCGAACTCCTTGGCATGTGAGTATAATTCGGTTCCGGCTTTCTCGAGTGTCTTGTCAACTGCTGCAGCACATTCCTGAAACATTGTCATCTTGGCTTCATAAAGGTGCCTGTCTTTAGCCAGTATCTTGGTAACTTGGTCCTGGCACTCTGAGGAAGAGGCTTTACTCCCCGCATCGCATTCGATGGCTAGGTCTGTAGAGATTTCGCTTGATCGAGGTCGTTTCATATCAGTAGTGCTGCTGTTATTAATATTTCGGGATTTTCTATTCAGAGGGGAAACGATGGTGAAGTCAGCCTCGGAGACCTGTGACGGGCTGCTGCTGATGTCGTCGAGCAGCGCCTGGCGGAGCCTGCTCGGAGTTGCCGGGCCGTATGTCTTTTTAGGGGCCGGGGATTTGAGCACGCCGCCGGTGGTCGTCCTCGGGACGGCCACGGGCGTGTTTGGGGGCCCGTCGTAGAAGGGTGCCATCCGGCTTGTTAAGAAAAATTCTGTTCCGCCTTGGCAAAGATAGTCGGTTACTGGGACAAGTGCCTGCTTTAGCACAGATACAGAGGTTGCGCCCTAACAGCGGGGCGCCAAGAAAAATAGTTGTAATTAAGAGATCTGTTGCATTGTTGTTGTTATTAGGTCCTGCTACCACTGACAGCTACGCGAAAGGCCTGATCTAGCTACAGGGCACGGACCACGTGACCTCCAACATTGTATAGTTTAGTTTAGTTTAGTTTAGTTTAGTTTATTTAACGCCGTAGGGGCTCTAGGCTCCAGATCCTTGTGGATGTTTGGCGTGCAGGTGACTATCTCAGGGGCTAATATACAAGCCTTACTGTACGGGAAGCAGGGCATGACTCCTTATTTCCCACGATAACCTGCAAATCGAACCTCGAGGGCACACATATTATTCCATCAGTTTCTGTTGGCCCCGCCATTTGGGCTCGTGCTCTGTGATATCTGGGTCGTAGTCGGTGGTCCGAAATGCTGCAATAAAGCGTCGAAGGGCTCAAAGGCCCAAGAAATGAGGTCGGTAAGTGTAATCAGAAAGAATCACAGGCCGGGAGTCCTGTTGAAATTCAAAGCTTTGCGTTCTTCCCATCTATCCATCATTCGCGTCTAGCGACTTCGCCATCTTTTCTACCACCAGCTCCGTATATATCGATAGCCGGGAAGCTTATACCCCGATCCTAGAAGGCGACCAGCTGGAAAGCTCTAGTCGACACCTATCCTTCCGTTTCTTCGCCGGGGGGCCCGTCCAACATTGTATATAAATATAGTCGAGCTCGATGCTTTCTAGGGCCTTCTCGGCACGTACCATGCCGCGGGCCCTGCCTATATGTTGGCTTAAAATAGGGAGGTATTCCGCCATAAAGTCATCCCTACAAAAATATGGTCTAGAACCAGGCTAAAAAGGGCTGGCCCGTCTCCAAAGATGACGGTAACCTTTACGCAATGTCAATGAGCATGCTCATTTACGTCGAGGAAGCTTGATAGTTCTTGACGCGACCTGAACTATGGGATGAGCTTGGAACAAAGAGCAGCAACCACTGCCTGAGGGATAGCTCGGCTCGTAAGGGTATCTTGGTATGAGAGACGCGTTCTCGAATGTGTATTCGGAACAAGCGGGTTTCACTAATGATGCTTTCCGTCTCGTCCTCGGTTACCTGATAACAAAACTATCGGTACCGTTTATGGATGGCATTCCGCTAACAACATCTACCTAATCTTGCACTAGTGCTGCTTGCTGTGCCCCGGTCGCGACAGCATCATCGTCTGGGTGACCTTCCTTAGAAATTTTCTCAGCCTGTCCTTTTACCCAAGTCTCCACATCTCCTGAAAATGACTCCTCCGGCCGAGCTCCATCGGCCACCCCCCCGGCATCATTCGGTTTCAGGCGTACGTTACCCCAGGGTGTGGCCGGGAGCTCGTCGCCGTCCTTCGTCTCCTCTTTCGCTCTGCTCTGTCTTGTTTCGCCTGCAGCCGGCTCTCCCTTCTCTTTTGCCTTTTCCTCCTCGGCGAAGCAAACCTGTTGTACCACCCGGGAGCCCTGACGTCTCTTGGAGCCTTTCGCCCCGGTCCCTTGAATGGTCTCTGGCTCGGACCTTGGCGTGGTCGAGACAGCCGTGTCCTGAGCTACTTTGTTGGTTCTGTCTCTTATGGTCGGGGCCACCTTGATTATCTTTGGTAGTAGTCCCTCCCCCTTCCTCTTCTGGCCTCGGTCACCATCGCTGCTGGGTGAGGGACGGCCCGACGACTCCTGAGTTAAGAACTTGTAGCACTCCTTGGCCGTCCACCGTTCGTGGGGCTTCGAATGGAGCAGGCCCTTAACCAGTGTTTGAGTGGCCTTGGGGGCTTGACTCAAAGAAGGCAAGACAACTTGTGCGATCCATTGACCGTAGCTTCTGGCATCGATCGGAGGTCCTCCTTCGTAGTTTTCTATCATCGAGTCATACGGGGTCAGCACCCGCAGGGCTATTGCGCCAAGGCCATAGGCGGGAGCCGGGTAGGTGTAACGGTAAGGAGGCTTAAGCCTCTCCGGAGCGGTGTAGATAGTCGGGTTGATGATGCGGTCTTCCAAGTAGTGCCGTCCTCCAAGATTCTCCAACTGTTCCAGCTTGGCAATCTTGGGCACAAACTTGCCTCCTTCCATTTCAACAATGACGATATTCTCGGGAGTCAAGGCTGTGTATACAAACTGTTCGGAGCAGAGGTAGGCCAGTCCGCTAGCCAGCTGCGCGATCACGTCGTTGCGGTCAAACGCGAGCCTCGATCGGATCAAGTCTTCAAGGGTGGTTGCGCATTCGATATGTTCCGTGATGATCCATGGCCGCTCTGTGACAGTATCTTCGTAGCCGATCCCTCGGTATACGCCGATATCATGGATGGTGAGTATGTTGGTCTAGGCAATATGTAATAATAATCAGCGTATGAGGGCAACAAAATGCCTCTCCTTCGATTGTGACTTACATGGCGAATGGATCCTCCGTTCTTCAACGACTTCATCAATGCCTCCTCCTTGATCCTCAGGCTGCCCGGGGCCTCCCCCAGCTCAATCGGCAGCAGCGTGGCGGACAGTTTCAAGGGCCCATTCCAGACCACACAAGAGGGAATGATGGATGTGCTACGAGGAGGCTGCTCCTCGAAGCACACGAAAAACCTGTTGCTCTGCAGTCCGATGCGGGTGCAGCCATGCCTGGTGTCAACTCCGCTCCGGATACTGGGAAAGTAGCCCGGAAGCTCGGCAGCAATGGCCTTCTCAAACTCGTGCGCCGTCATCCTATGCTCAACCAGTTCTTCACCCGTCAAGGCTGGATGCCACACTTGGAGCCGCACGGCCGCGCATATAATGAGGGCTGGTTTGACGAGAAGCAGCTCGCTACCAGGATCGAGGAGCACAGGGTTGTTCGGGTCATCGAGGTACACGACGACCGAGCCCTTCAAGCACCTCAACCTCGGGATGACAGGAGAACCGCGTCGTATCCGCGGGGCAAGCTCGATACTGAAGTGCGTCCTGCTGATTTTGCTTTCTACATTGCTGTGACTGAGCTGAAAGTCGCAGCGCGACTGGCCTTTTCCGCCCAAGACCTTTCCACCTGAACTATCGAGTGAGCCAAACACCCAATTCCCTTCTTTCTTGGGCTTCTCGCTGAACCGTAGCGCGTAGAATGGACCACGGAGGTCGTTTGGATGCAAGGCGCCTGCCCATCCTGGCTGCTCGCATGGGGTGAACTCGAACTCTCTGTTCCACGCGAGAATTGAGGTCAGATCGACGCCAGAGGTTGGAAGGAGTCTGAAAAGACACAGAGTGTTGCTCAGAGTGTTGCTCAGAGCATTGTTGGGGGCAGTCATCTGGAAGAAGCGGGAGGGTATACGGATGGGAGAGGACTGAAAACAGAGGTTCTTCGGGCAAAGAGAACGCAGGGAAAAAATTGGTTGGTAAACAGGCGGCAGAGGCGGGAAAGGTGTTAGGGAGGGAGGGGCTGCACTGTCGCGTATGCAATCAGAGATTCTGATTTGAAGCCGCGCGTGCAACTGAGAGTTCTGATTTGTTGGCGCATCAGTGTGGCGCGGGGTCTCTCCCCCCGCTTCTAACCTATCCTTAAGACCAAGGGTGGGTTGTGTGAAATTGTGTGGCATCCGACAGCCACCATCTCTGCCTCACGTCGCGCCCGACAGACATGCGATGAGCTGCCGGTAATCCTTCTGCTTCCATAAGGAGTTCTCCTCGGTTGGGGCGGGTAGTCCACGGCTAGAGGATTGGCCTTTTGCTCTATCTTTTGGCGGTTCCTTTTCAGCAAGCTCCCCAACCGCTCACTTGGCCCTGCGCTTCCGAGTTCCATCCGTACACCGGCTTTTCGAGTCGACCTTCCCTCCAATGACTCTGGTGTTGCCGATACGACTCTTACGGGTGGCCTTGCTGTCGCTGTCGCTGCTTGATCTCTCGTGTAGTAAATTAAGCTCCTTCCCAGATCGTAGCGTTCGTTTTGACTGGTCTTGCTTCCGTGATTGAGATCTGGTGGTCATGGTGCGCCGTGAGACATGTTCATCCTGTTGCGGAGGCGAGTTCCTGCTCCTTCGCGTCGGCTGCTTCGGCGACATCGCCAGCACCGGTGCTGTTTCTACTTCCCCAGACTCCGGACCGAGGCCGTGTTGTAGAGTCTGTGAGTCCAGCACGCTTTGCTTGGGTTGGTCCTGACCGAGCCAATGACGGCCCTCAATGATTGTGCTCATGGGCTGGAGGTGTCTGTACTCGATTTCGTAGTACGCCCGGTGCTTGCAGCGTAACCGAAGCTCGCGGAATTCATCTCCAGACATGCCTTTTTCTAGTAGCTTGTTCCTGAGAGACACAGCAAGGGCCTGCCAGCCTTCAGCCGCAGATGGGCACCAAAGACTGGGTAGTTCCGACATCCTGTCAACGGCGGGGCGCTTGTCAATCCAATGACTGAGAAGCATGGTGGCCTCCAAGCACCAGTAGTGCTCGTGATCAATGGTGTCTCGCGCCTGGTCTATCTCGTCATTAAAGTAGTACCAGATCGACTGGCAGTGCGCTTTGAAAGCCGGCGGAAAAGCATTAGGATTTATGTCGCATTCGGGAGTTCCCTCCTGCCGACTTAATAAATCAAGGTCTGCGTGGAGAGCATCAAAGCCGCCGACATCTGTCAATGTATGCTCCCTGGGTGGTTCTGGGAATACGAACCGCGACTCCGCCGGCGACTCGCTGTATTGTGATGAAGTCATTTCCGTCGTCGCTATATTATTCCTGATTGACCGAATCGGGCTGCGAAGGTGATGCAGGGGACGAATAGAGCGCGCGAGTTGATGTTTGACGAAGGCAGATGATGAATTTTATAGTGGGGAAATGTGTGGTAACAGATTCTGAGGAGAGTCGGCGCGACCTCGGATAATTGTCCATTAGAAGGCTGCGCATCCTTAGTCATCAATGCGACAGGGTGTGGGTCCTTAGGGCCTTTCAGGCCACGGGTGTGGATCCTGGCACCTGGGGACAGCTGTCGATTCTAAGCCCACCAGCGTGCTTTCACATCTTCGAATCGGGAACTCTGGCAAATCATCCGATTTTCAGGCTGGACCCGAGAGGTTTCGAAAAGGACGGCTAAGATATGGAACCTGGAACATTTCAACTCCCTGTCACAGGGCTCCCCAAACTTGCTGGGTGTCCTTTCGCACAAGAAGGTGGTGACCGCCCGGTGCAATCACTCGGCCGTTGACTCTTATCTAATATTGCTCCCGGCAAGTCCGGCCTCGACCGAATGCAACATCCTGCAAGACTATGATTTCTTCGTTATTCCGGATGTAGGACCGCATAGCCGGCAACTCACATGGGCTGGAGTGTTGTCGGACATGCTTCTAACTTCGGTGTCGCTATTTGAACAATGCCATTGGTAACATACGATAAGCCAACATGCTTATTTATGACAGATCAGGCACTCAAAGGTGTTTTTGAAAGATTGATCAGCGGAGCATAAGTATGTTAGTCAGGATACTTCAAGTTCACTTCGAATCTGCGGCCGTTTAGACTGCCAATCCATTCTTTCAGGATATTAGGGTTGTTGCCGGGAACGTCCTTTCGAAGAAGCCTCTCACATTCTGTTGGGGTTCATGCAAATTTGTGCGAGGAGAACGAATGACCTCTCTGGTCCAAGCACTGCACCGAGTTGACCTTCACCAGGATGCACCGGGAGCGTTACCAGACTGTCGATATTTATGCAAGTTATTCGGACACGGCGTGGGAAACATCATCTGTTAATAATATTTCAGTAGCATTACAGTGCGGCTGTATCTATACCAGCCAGAGACAGTCCTACTACGCCTCCAAGAGCCCTCCAATCCATCCAACCTGTCACACTTGGGTTGTTTCCATAACGATGACAAGAACACTGCATGTCGCTCATCCCCTTTTGCGCCCCTGCCCTCCTACGTCAGTTCGGGTCGTTCTGTGTATCATTGGGTCAACCTACCCGGTCTCCCCATTCCTTTGTCTTCCTCTCCACTCATTGGTCTACAGCCCCTCTGTTGCACTCTGGGTGTATCGATGTACATCCCACCATTTCTAGACCATCCTCTTCCATCAATAAGCTCCAGGTACATTCGGAGCAAACACGTGCTCGCTTTCAGGCAGATGCACATTCTGCCCCAGATACAATTGCAGTATGCTTATTAAGCTCGCCTGGTTGTTGTGTTGGATTTGTGCTCTATCGTCTGTCAGTCGCATTTTGCAAATCCTGAAGCACCGCCGTACCCACATGTCATCCAACCTTTGCACTATATATGTCGTGTTCATGCTTGCCGACAAGGCCAAGCTGATGGCCGTCCAAAAACACGATCCCTTGACCGTTTTCGTATTTGAGTTCCAGCACGACGCGTACGACCTACTTTCCGCCCACAAGCGCGTCGATCTCCCCGTCATTCTCCTCGACTACGGGTCAACTACGTCCGTGAAGTTATCAGTGGGCAAGCTGCGCGATCAAGTCAACTCGAATTCTTTACCGACCTGCACCAGCTCCCGAGATCAACACGCACCGCTGACTTGACGGGTACCACGTTCTTGCTTTGTTTAAGATCAGAAACCTGAACCTTCTTCACCCTTAATGGAAACAATTAGCACCAACCGAATCTGTCGTGTCCAAGTTAGCCATGCTCTTGACGATGCGTTTGCCCGAGACTTACAGTGTTCGAATGTTGCGCATTCTCTCCTCATCCAAATGCGAACTGATCAAGAGTTGCCTCCATTTCGATGTGTCACCCTTGTCGCCCGGCAATGCGGTTGCACAGGAAGAGCCACCTACTGATGATTGTTTCACTGCAGCAATCTGAGTTTTGCCCCTTTTATCCTTCCTAGCAAGAGATACTAGTTCCTGTTCGATCTGATGAAGTGCCCGTGCGATCCGAACAGAAGCGCCGCCAAGGTCGCCGCTTGTCTCAAGGTGTGGAACGGTCCATTGGCTGTAGAGAGCGCCATGGGACCCTCGGGTTCGAAAGACAGGGTCATACCGCTTGATAAACTCGTTGCAAAGATAGCAGGACTTCTTGCTGTAACCGATGTAGCCATATATCAGCCAGTTGGGTTCCTGACGGGAGCTTTGCGATGACTTCTGCTGAGCTAGATACATCATCAGTTGGATCTCAGCATGGATTTGTGGCCCTTCTTTCTGGATCGAGTTGAATCTCGCCGTGGCATCTCCGAGCTTCCATTTCATGCCGATGATGCTCTTGATGTCCCGTCCTCGCGGGAAAAGACTGCAACAGGTGTCCTGAAGCGTCCATGGTTTCGAAGACATGTCGCGACAATCAAGGTCTTTGAGATGGCGCAAACTTTTTGGATTGCAATGAAGCAATACGATCCGCAGTTCCTCAAAACCCTGTAGACGGCTGGCAGCTCGTAGGATTGTAGTGCAAGACGCATCAACGCGTCCGAGATACCCAAGTGACTCGCGAACTCTGGAGGGCTTGGGGATACCGATCGCATTAAACGCTTCAAGGGGATGAGACTTCCAGACTGTACGCGCAATCTGAGTCACAATCTGGATAGTAGTGAAGTGCCGAAACACATCCTCCGACGAAACCAGCTTCCGCAACACCATCAAGGCGATGATCAGTTCTGTTGACTTTGTGTCAAAGGACGCCGATACGTGGCTCGACAGTGCCGCATTTGCACAGAGGCGTGCCAAATGTTGTTTCAGCTCAGTCAGCCATATATGGAGCCGCTCGCGTTGATACTGGTGGGTAATCAGGTAAAGACGAGCGATCTGTGATTGAGCTAGAACACCTCTTCTCAGTGTTATGTCGCAGAGACCGATGGGATGTCCTTACCACCATGCGTCGCGATGTGGCGAACCATCAATTCGAGATCCCGGAAGAATATTTCATCGGACGAGTGAAACCCATCATTACGTGCAATGATCATTTCGATCGCTCCGTTTCCCGTCTGCATGACACTCGCGGCAACATAACGACCACCCTTGGCGTTCGACGCAACCTCGGCTACACGATCAAGCAGAGTGTCTTTCAAAGCCTTCTCGTCAAAAAAGGTAATCACGTCGGGGCTGGCGGAGTCCGCGTCATCACTAGGCTCATCTTCCAACGTGTCGTTGTCGTCTGTGCCCGACCTGGCTGACGACTGCTGGACCTGTCCATTGTTCCATAGATGCACCAGAGTAGCGCATGCCCGAAATCGCGAACGGTTGTTCCCCTCCAAGTTCCAATGTGAAATGGCGTTCATTTGGGCCGCTCTTAACCTGGCTGGGGCATTAGGTAGGCCTGAAGGGTCGCGTGACGATGCCGTTGATGGTCAAAGTATCTGCTCTCTTGAGATCGACTAAGCGGATTCGCAGCTCTCTACATAGTTCGAGCATATGAATGTCGCCCAGCGCGCGAGATTGACACTGACGTGGCAGTGTCGGGTGCCTGTCTTGCACCACTTTCGTGGCCGGCCGCATGATGCCTACTCCCGCTCAACGAATGACACGACGCCGTAACGCGGTACACGGCTGTGGGCAAATCATATCCTGTCGCCGATTATGAAGCAGCCACCGGTTCCACCTACGGTGATCTGGTATCTTCTGACACCGTCGAAGAATTCGGCGACTTCAGAATCTTTCGCGTGGGAAGAGCCATCGATCATGGCAAGCCTTGGTCTCAGGGGACATCGCCGCCTACTATCCCACTCCACGATTGAAGGCTGGATCATCAGATGGGAAGTCGCTAGCTGTACTGATTCGAGCTAGCAAGATAGGGGTGGGTTGACTTCGACCATTTCCACTCGGCATCGTCGCGGTGACAAGGTGTGGACCGCACGATATCCGGTTTCCTCATACCAGTCGTATTACCGGGATGCACGAGGCTCTTCTCTTCTTGCATAGTCGGAGAAGTCAGATCCTTCCCTTATCGGGAGGTATCGGCTTATCATGTGGGAAGGTCTGTGCAGGCCGTCACAATGACTGGGAAAAGCTGCCAGCAGATTCGACGAATCCCAGCAACACCGGCAACTTGCCCACTTCAAGTCCTCTACATGGACACGCTCTATCATCAACCAATTGGTCTCACAGGTCATCTTTACTCTGTTCACTTTACAGACAGCTAAAGCAGCTATCGATGGATCTTGTTCGCTCGTTCGAAAGACGAGATTTGCGCTAAGATCATCACCTTCCTCAAGACCCTTCAAGTCCAGACCAAGCTGACACTTCAGATCCTGTTTTCAGATAACGGACGCGAGTTCCTTGGCAACAATGGACAACTCAAGTCTTACTTGGCTGGGAACGGCACCAAATACGAACGAACCGTACCTGGTACACCGGCGCAAAACGGAAGAGCCGAGAAGTCTGGAGATATCATAATGACGCCAGCACGATGTGCAATCCTTGCGTCAAGGCTTCTGGAATCCCTTTGGCCATGGGCGGAGGAATGTTCGACTGAGTTGGCAAACTTATTGCCGACAAGAGCCAATCCTGGCAGCGAATCGCCTCATCAACGGCTCTGTACCTATCTACAACTGAACGACGAAGCTTCTATCCAACACCTGCTTCATCTCCGAACCTGGGGATCACTGGCATACGTCCACATCAGCAAAGAAAAGCGTCAACAATCAGCCAAAGTCTGAGCCAGAGCTCGCGAAGGCTACCTGGTCGGCTACCGTGATCGCCGAGCCAAGATATACAAGATCTGGGTGCCAGAACTAAACAAGGTCATAGACGCAAGGGACGTTCGTTTCTACGAAGGCCAGATTGGTGCCAAACCAACGGCCGACGACCCTCTCTATGATGTCGTCTTTACTGAACCAGGATTTGAAGAACTAAACGCCTACCGACAACCCCTGGTACAGGTGGAAGGTGCTCTCGTTACCCAACCTGAAGCTGGACCCGAGGAGACCATTCAACCTCCTAGTGCTCCCATCATACCAGATCCTCTGCCACCTACTCACGGGCCCGTTATTGAGCTGGGAACACCTCTATCATCGCCAACGGCAGATAAACCTGGATCTGATGACGAATTTACTGATGTTGAAGAATCTCTTCTCCACGAATTCCCTTTCGATATTTCCAGAAAGGATCTCAGTCCACGAACAACCCCTTCCGACCCACTTGACACTCAATCAACTGGACGTCCCAAGCGTGCAACGACCGAAGGAGTGAACTATAAACAGCCCAATCTCAAGTCAAAGTTGAAAGCAATGATTGCTCTCACTCCGGAGAATCAAACCACTTTCGATAAGGCTTCTCATATCTCACTTGACGAGCTTATTACTCCTGTCCCTGAATACAGCTTCTCAACACTAAAGATCGAGAAGATCATATCACCAGCTCCTGTGAAAAGCTTCAAAGAAGCCAAGAGCCGACCAGAACTCTGGGATGCTTGGAAACCTGCTTTCGACGCACAGATCGACAGTCTCGAGACTCGCAAGGCCTTCGACCTGGTACACCTCATCATTCGCCAACAACAAGGACCTATCATCACAGATCGGATTTGTTATTATCCTCGGGAATGAATCATCTGGTAATGGCGAGACATTCACATTTTATCTGACCGGAAACATTGTTCATTGGTCCTCTACCAAATGCAAGAGAGTCACACGAAGCATTCTAGCTTCTGAAATCTATGGCATGGTTGCTGGCTATGACTACGGATACGTGATCCACCGTACACTGGCAACTATCTGCCAACGCCTCGAAGTACCTACGATCCCCCTGATCCTCTGCACGGACTCATACTCGCTATACCAGTGCCTTGTCAAGCTCGGCACTACCAATGAGAAGCGCCTGATGATCGACGTCATGGTGCTCCGGCAGTCATACGAGAATCATGAGATCACAGAAATCCGATGGATCCATGGTGAAGACAACCCTGCTGAATCGATGATCAAGTCGTCTCCAAACAAAGCCCTTCATGGTCTTGTTTCTGATAACAAGACAACGGTTCGAGTTGAAGGCTGGGTTCAACGTTGAGATCACCTGGATAGATGGTTTGATGGAATCGCAATCATAAAAGAGAGAGTATCCTGTGTTAGATCCATGCGATTCCAGCCTGCAAACCATCTATACCAAGACCCACATGTATGATTAGATAAGTGCGAGGTCACTTAGCTAGACCTTTCAGGTCCAGCTAGGCCTCCCAATCCAACCATCAGCAACATCATGACCTTGACCCCATACTCGAGTATTATGATTGATCGTTCAAGCCTGTTCCAACACTATCTGCTAAGTATTAACTAAACCTAGAGTTTATAATCCTATAATAACGGGAAGATAACACCCATTGTAATAAGCAATGGCGATACCTGTCGAACGAGGTGATTCCCGCGTGAAATGAATGGAGGTATAGTTTGCGAGGGGATCAATGTCGGGCGTCGGGTTCCTGGGCCAACATATGTCTTGTTTAGAATAGTGGTAGCGAGTGCCGTATTTTGAGGGAAAGCCTGACTATGACAGGTAGTTAAACAGGTGGCATTGAGTGTTGGTCTAGCTTCGAAAGTAGTCATGCTTGGAGTTTTAGCAAGGTCCGAACTCGAAGTACTAAGAGAGTGCGAGGGCAACGCGCTGGCAAGAGGTGTCGATTGAAGGCCGCCGCCAAACTCTACAAAGCCAGAAGCTACAGTTGTCCCCAAGTTCAACTCGAAGCTGACAGTCTGTCGAGAAGGTGAAGCAATGCCGAAGCTGACTGAGGCCAAAGCTAACCATACAGCAAGAAAGACCATGATTGATCTAGCTTCAGATACGGAAGATGTTGCGACATTCACTTCATTACTGTAATTGACTCAAGCGATCAAGTGGAGAACGGGGATCGATGCCATATATGACAGTCTATATAAGCTTAACATGTCACATAATAGATAAGCTTTCCGGCTTTACATATGTAACTGGGTAGACACTGAGAATTGACCGAGGTCCATTTTCAGCCCATCCTTAGAAAGGCTATGGCACATCCAGAGCCATCTCAGACCCACCTGGTAAGGGCAAAATTCGGATGATCCACTTTGGTGCTTGGAATCTGGTTTGATGTTATTAACAGACAGGGTACTGTAAGGATGCTAGAAGCGGAAATCCGACGTGTAAGTAAGCCCGATGATGGTCGGGACGGGTCCATGATGAGTAGCCGAACAGCTCTAGGCGTATCCCCTCGTTTTACCCCCGCCTGCTGAACTGGTGAGAGCTGATGATCGTTGCCAGTTCAAGGCCAAAAGTGACGACATGATCTTCAGCTTCACGTAATGCCATGTACCTGTCTCAATGTTAAGAGATGGAATCACAGATTAGGCACTTTTTACCTTGTCTATAGTTTGATTGAGTTTGTGCGCCCGCGTGAGCTTTTCTCTCATGATCTAGTTCCGGGTTGCGATCCAGTTACCGCTCACAGTCTAGTTAGGGTTAATGAACCAGTTCCTGCCTACAATCCTTGATCTTGGGCTTCGCAAGGCTTAGGATCAGACTTTGGCAATGCTTCCAAGCAACCACAGGTTTATTCGTATTAGGAGCATAGCACTAACCAATGTTAAAAGACTATAGTTGGATCGAAACGCCGTTTTCGAAGTCCTAGAGTTATAGTTAAACAACAACTGGCAAATGGACGTGGTTCTAAAACTAAACTGCTACCCCCGGTGTTGTTTGTAACAGCTTAAAGACTGCGCCTTTTCCCCGACATTCCGATTTAACATCTACCCTTTCTATTATGGCCGATAGCGATATAGCCAGCACTATAGTGACCCTAGGCGAGCGTTTCTCCAATCTGTGTCCCGAGATCCGTGACGAAATATTCGCGTGGCTTCTCGTTCGTCCAGTGAAGTGGGATGCATCTCACACTCCTTCCTGCCCGGCATATACATGCAGGCGACCTCAGCTGGATACAAGACAACATACCTGTGCGGCCTTCTTTTATGATGCACGTAGATGGCGTCGCCGAACACAACCCATTTTCGTGGATCCATGGCGAAGCGCCTGGGCACCAGAGCAGCTGAATGCCTTCTTATGTACAACGGTGAGTCCTCTCAAAGCTACAGTGTACTCAAGATACTCAACCTATTAGGTATCATTATATTCTTACGTGAAATAAGTGGCTGATGTCTCTGTAATAGTGCTACGATCGAGATTTCCGCCCGCGTCCCTTCCCTACACCTCACAGCTTACCATGCCTCTGCGCCCGTCGATAAAACCTACAAGTGCTGCATGTCTGCCGTCAGTGGTACGCGGAAGCTGGTCGAGTATTTTATACGCGCAATGTTTTCGCTTTTAGCCACACGCAAGAATGCGTAGACTTCCTGCAGGCACTTTCCCCACGGTGGCGGCCTTTCATCAATAAAATCAGTTTACTTGCTCTATCACCTTACAGCATACGTCAAAACCCAGCCAACCATGGCATTACGAGGGTAGAGATTGATATTACTGGAGACACGGGATTAAGGATGGCATGGGAGTTGTTGTGTAATCTCCCCGCACTCGGTGAATTGGAGTTGGATGCAGTTTTCCTGAGCAGGGCAGAATGCCTGGAACGGGCCACCGGCGTCCGGGCTACGAAAGGCTGTGATCACCTGTGTCATCCCAACAGCGCTATACGGCATGGAGGCATGGTACGGCGGGCGGAAAAAGCCCGCAAACAACGTTTCTTCGGCAGGCAAGGCAGAAGTCAGCGCCCGTGTGGGAGGGCACATTGCCATGATACAGCGAGCCCTTACCATGGCTGCGCGTGCGGTGCTCCCTGTATGGCGGACCACCCCTACCTACACGGTCTACAGAGACGCCGGAATCCCAACGGCAGAGACAGCTCTGGACCAGGCCCTGTGGCGCTTCGCGTACAGGCTTCGAACTGTGGACAAGCCACACCCTTTCACGAGGCGAATCGACTTACCAGCCATCACACGAGGCCGGGGTGCGGGCGGGTTTGAGCGACCCAAGACCAAAGTACAGGTGGTAGCACGCATGTTACCCCCAGTGCAACGGCCCTTATTGGTGCCACCAAGATTCACGAGGGGCTGCAGGACCGACCCAACAAGGGGTCAAACCAAAGAGCAGGCGGCAGAGTCCTTCAAAGCATGGTTTCAAACACTGCCCCCAGAGGATGTGGTGGTGTTCTCGGATGGATCAAAGGACAAAACATGCGTAGGATACGGCTATGCGGTCTACCAAGGCGGGCAACTCCTCGCCTCAAATAAGGGCCGCCTACACCCGTGCTCCATCGTATTCGATGCGGAAGTAGTAGGAGCCTGGAAAGGGCTCCAGTACGTGACCAAGGCCCCTCCGGAGCTGAGCCAGCGCCGGATCTGGGTCTGCGTGGATAACACAGGAGCGATCTGGGGGCTCCGCGGCAACGCCGCGGTCTCCTGCCAGTGGGCCTACCTAAAGTTCCACGCTGCGGCGGAAATCCGGGACGTCACTGTCAAATGGTGTCCCGGCCACTGCAACGTCCAAGGCAACGAGCTTGCAGACAAGCTGGCTAAGGCCGGCTCCAAGCTGCCTGTCATCGATAGCGACTGCACGCCCACAGCCTACGGCATCAAGTCCGTAGCGCGAAAGAAGGGAGCTGCGGCTCGAGAGAAATGGTGGGACAAGGCACATGCAACACTGTCGTCTCGCTACAAGGACTGGAACCTTGGTTATCACCTGCGCTGTCACGAGGAGCTACAGGTGCTTACAAGGCCAGCACTACATCACTATCTCGCCACCCGTACAGGGCACGGTGACTTTGCTTGGTATCACGACAAGTTTGGTCACCCAGACGCCATCCGTGAATGCTCTTGCGGGAGAGCAAAAGCCCCGGAACATATCGTCCACTGCCAGAAATCCATCAAGCAGTTCAAGAAATGGCCCCAAGGCCCCTCCCGGCGACCCACCAGACCGGAACGACAGCGCTACTTGCGTAACATTATGGACACTCCTACAGGTTACCGTGAATTACTCGCGGCCACAAAATTCTACAGTGGCATCTGCCCTCGTTACTGAGAGTAATAGGTTTTCTTTTTGTTTGGGCGGCGTCCGGGGCATCTACTTCATATCTCTTTCCTTTGTGGTGCACTTGCACGTGAAGCAGGAGCACCGACTCCGCAGAACTTACCTTACAGCACGAATCAAGCTATTTGAATTAGGGATATGCTATGAAACTAAGCATTAGGAACAACGTCGGCACCATCCCTCACCCGGAGGAGGGGGGACACGACAGGAACCGCTGCTTAAATGCAGTGGCTGTCTACGGACGAGAGCCGCTAGCTGGGCGGCTGCATGTATATATATATAGTATAAGACCTAGCCTAGCACGCCCGCGCGCCCTTTTGGAGGCCCAGGGCCGCCGCTTTGCGGCAGGCCCCCTGGCGTTAAACGTTACAACAACAACAACAACAGAATGCCTGGATGTTATCACAAGTTCCTCTCTAAATAACCTAAGAAGACTAATATTCACACAGTTAAGAAACAATGGCGAAGGGTCAGAGAAGTTTGTTTGGCCTATGTGCGCAATGCGTTCAAATATAGAGACTGACGAAGTACCAAGTCGGATGGCCAAACATATGAAAGGCATTAATCAGCTATAAATGAGATAATTCAGATCCTGATAGAGCTTCACCCTATCTTGTATTGTGACGAGGAAGAGATATATAGTATGCATCAAGTCCGAAGAGCCTGAGAATCAGAGCCATGGATAACATGCACCCGTTAGTCCGATGTGCTACAGCCCGGTACCCTACCGTGAGCAGAGGCCTGAGGGGTCTGGTCACAGGGCGACCTGATAATCATACGATAATGGCGCCAGCTGAATGCCCTGAAGCTAAGCCCATTAGAGCATTCAGCCCCGAAAGCCTCAGCCTGGTATGATATCCAACAAAAGCACCGGAACACATCGTCCACTGCCAGAAATCCATCGAGCAGTACAAGAGATGGCCCCTGGGCCCCTCCAGGCGGCCTACCAGGCCGGAACGGCAACGCTACCTGCGTGATATCATGACCACTTCTACAGTGTACTGAGACCTACTCCTAGCCACAGAGTTTTATGGCGGCATCTGCCCTTGCTATTGATAGCATTTGCATTTTTCTTTATTTGGGCGGCGTCTGGGGGATCTGCTTTATATCTCTTTCTTTTGTAGTGCACTCGCACGTGAAGCAGGAGCATAAGTTCCATAAACCTTACCCTGCAGCTCGAATCAAGCTGTTTAATGACGAGCAATCGCCGATATTGCAACGAGCTTGTCCGCAGGGTTCGTCAGGTTCCTCCCAGAGGTGTATGCTTTTACTGCGCGGGCCCAAATTTCGAAGGCTCGATGTTCCACTTGATCAGCTGGGAGGTTCGCAAGAGAGAAGAGATCTAACTTCTCGAAGCTCTCGTTATCATACTCGGTTAGAATGCCGCCGTAGGGGTAGGACTCGGACGCCTGCATCTCTGTGCACTCCCAATACATTTGAGATTTTGTGAAGTTGACGACTCTAGGAGATATCGTCCGCTGCCTATTGTTAGTTAAGCCTCCGAGTCTGAAGATACGGAATTACCTCCTGCAGCACCCATCCTCTGGAATTAAGGACCGAGCCGTTCACCTCACTATTCCACGATTTTAAGTCGCAGAGATCATAGAGGCCATTCAGATATGCGTCTTGTCCGCCGGGTGAGTCTGAAGCGAACGTGTAAATACCATGTCCCGAGCTCGTATCGGGAGCATTCGCGTTGGTGCCAAAGAATAGGCGGAGTGGCAGTTTCAAGCTGACATCTCGTTCAAAGAGACAACCTTTCGTGTCATCGGTCGCGGAGGCGGCTGCAATGTTACAGTAAGAACCTCTGTACACATCACACATGAGAGGACATTCCTGGAGCCAGTCCTGATGCGAGTCTTGGATGATGCAAAGCGAATCGACCCAAAGGTAGGCAATGCCGAGGCGACGTGTGATGTCTATGGCATCCTTGAAGGCCTTCCATTTTCCCAGGGGCGGCATTTTCGTACTCCATGCTGCCAAGCAGCGCTCAGTCAATACGAGTTTGTCTTGGACCTTTCCCCAGCAGTGGGACAAGGTCATGTACTGGTCGGTAGGCGCAATATCCGACCCACGCACCAGTCGCAGGCAGGAGTCATCGCTGCCAACGTAGATAAGCCGGCCTGGTTTCCAGCCAGCCTTCGAGCCGATCGGTGGCCGCTTGCATGCAACATGGCCAGCAGTACAAGTGTTTATCCAGTGCTTCAGAAGACAAATGGACCGTTCGTCGCCAATGGACTTTGTTGGAAAGTAGCCCGGAATTTGTAAACGGTCTGGCACAATCAGCACCTATAGATGAGCGTTGAATGATGTAGCTCACCTCTTTCCGGGACTACTGAAACCAAGCGGAAGCTGCGGGACTTATAATGGATACTTGTCCAATCAAATTGGCGATATATGTCAAGCTCTACGTCTGCTTCTGTATTCGCTTTGCCACCTCCGTAGCGGTGTACATAAACATTTGTTTTCTCTGTCTTGCCGTTACTCGGACTCTTTTCGCTGGGGTCTTCGAGCCGCAGGCTGTCAAATGGCACGCAAGCCACAGTGGCGTTCAGGGAGGTGGCAGTGCACCGACAGGGCCTCTAGGGCAATTTCGGGCCCTGCTGCTTACAACAGAAGATCCTGCAGAAGACACACTCTGATGAGAATCACCAGAATACACGTTATCAACAAGATACATCATATTACACGCTGTTTGACAGTTATGAGCCCGGTCTAGCAAGTGCTCCTCTGACTGGCGATTATTTTGCAATTATTCTCAATCAAAATAACCCATTTTCCGTCAGTTCAGACCCACACCTGCGCGAAAGATACACGAAAACAGCGCGTACTTAACGACAAGATGGCTACTGCAACGCCAAACCAGAAAAAGATCCTCAACGAACAGAGAGACTGGGATGTCTGGTACGAGGACTTCGTTAGTATCGTACCTCCCTCTCTCTGGAGGTGTATCGACCCCGAAAACCCGAACCCTTTGCCTCTTCAGGTGCATCCAGTGGCACCAACCTTCGAGAGCGTGCAAGCAGGGATCAATTCGTACGCCGATTTAGCCGCCAACAATCAACGCGTCTACCTGCAATTCTCAAGCATCTACGAACGAGAGAAAAAGGAATATAAGGAGCAGGAGGAGATGATCAGGGATTTGAGAGATCACATCAGGAAGACCGTATCCGAGACCAAAAAGATCCCCTGCGAGCTACTCAACCCCTACGAGAGTGGCTCGTCACACTCGTTCGAACAACGAAGCTATCAGTAGCAGATATGCAACGAATGGTCACCGACTCGTATAACAAGGTCCTGTTATCGAAGCGGATCATCCGCTCAGAGAGGCAGGCTTACGATTTCATCCAAGATTGGGAGAGGGTTATGGCGGATGCGACACACCATCGGATCCCTAGTGTGTTCCAACCGATGTTTTGGATCAAGGATCTGGCAACAGCCATCTACGGATTTTCGCCCGATTTTGCGAACAAGCTCAATATGGACTTTGTCCACAACCAGGAAGAAGCACCTGAGTATCTGGAGATCAGCAAGCGATTCCAGACCTGGATAGCAATGCAAGAAGCTGGCAACCGTGGAGGTGCCCGAAGACCTCAAAGAGGAGTGGCTCTGCAAGCTGATGGTACTCGTTTCGTGGGAGAAAGAAGTCCTTCTGCAGAGGATGCCCCAGCTGATCCCCCATCCAATCAGAGAGCGCTATCAAGAAAGAGACCACGGGCAGAGACTTCTTCTGGCGATACACCTCGTCGGAAGAGATCTAAGTGCCGTGATTGCAGCGCCTGGGGACATGATCTCCCTGATTACAGATGTGTGATACCAGGACTAAAGCCCGCAGACAGGCTACTGGAGACCTTCAAGAAAAGGGTAAAGGAGGATCAGAACCTCGCCAGAGAAGTAGCAAAGCTACGAAAGGAGTTCGATGACAGACTCACGAACATTAAGAGCCAAGAAGAGGCTGAAAGAGAGGATCGGGACTGACGGTGCGAGGAGAGGAGACCCTGTCTCAAGAGGACACAGAAAGGAGCAGTCAACAATATTTACAACCAAGTTTTCCACTCAGCTTATGACTATCCACTCCGTTATTCGTCCATCCTCGACTCAGGGTCGACTCTCCACGTATTTAATGATCTCCGCCGATTCAGACATTTCAGGAAGGCTCCTAGAGGCCATTTTGTGGTAGCTGGTAACAGCGAGATCCCTATCTTAGGATACGGAGAGGTGGCCGTGAAGGTTACTAGAGGTAGCGGTACAGGTACCCTCGTTCTCTCTGAAGTAGCTTACTGCGCAGATTTCGCGTGTAATATCATCTCATACGACCTTCTGGAGAAGAGAGGGTACTACTGGGATACCAGGAGCAATACAATCAATCGCAGAAAAGACGAATATATCCTTGCAGAGATTCAAAAGATCGAGAATCAACGAGTACTCGAGTACGTAGCAACACCGCAATACGAAGCCGGGATGAAGACATCTTCTAGCCACTGGCAGGCTATGTTATTCGAAGTCCAGCCGTTTTCTGAGCATATATAATGCCAATCGGCGGTCTTTCGAAACTCCTCGATGAACCACTGGGCCTGGAGGTCCTTCCCCTTGAAGATAATACCTGGTTTGAGGATTTTTCCAGTTGCAGAGATGGCCTCGATAAAGGAGGTCCAGCTACGGCTCGATGTGCAGAGGGATCGTGGTGGCGCCTGAAGTTATGCGGGACTTTGCGACCGCGGAGCGCCATCACCATTTCGTGGGACTGGGTACGGCCTAGCCGGACCTTCTCACTAGGTGGCTGACTGCGTAAGCACGGTGAATCGACTGGTCGCGGCGTCTATCAGGGGCTCCAAGAGGCCGCTCAGGCGTGCTAGGCTAGGTCTTCTATGTACATACACTGCCCCTCTAGCAGGTCAGACGGCCACCACACTTAAGCGGCGGATCACACCGTGTCCCCCCTCCTCCGGGTGAGGCGAAGTATCGGCTGAGGCCCCATATGTTGATTTCACGGCGTATCGCCAGGTTCAGTACTCGTAGAGCTACAGTAGGTGCCGCGGCATACCGCAGTGGTTCTTATACGCCCCGTGGGACGTTAGAAGGGGAAGATGAAAAGATAAAGCCTCCAGACGCCGTGACAGAAGGAAAGAGTGAGTGTGCCCTCAGTCAGGAGGGCAGATGCTACCGTAGAAGTCGGAAGCCACGAGTAGGTCCATGTACTCCCATGGGGAAGTTATGAGTTCGTCTAGGTACTCGAGCCTGGCTCCGAGCTCCGGCCGGGATGCCGGGGCCCTCGGCCAGACCATGTAACGTGCCAGAGTCTTCCGGCAGTGGATAAAGTGCGTCGGAGTCTTGCTTCGGCCGTACGAGCAGTCGAGGACGGCGTCCTGATGTTTGAACTTGACATGATACCAAGAGAAGTCGCCGTGCCCTGACCAAACAGCGAGTAAGCGGTGTAGTAACGGCCTGTTAAGTAGCTGCAGCTCAGTCCGAATACCCTGGTAGTGACGTCCTCCAGTCTTATCCGAGCAGTTCTCTTAGAGAACTCCTATCTGCATCCGCGACAGCGCTAACATATTAAACGCTATTACGGAAAAACTCTGGAACTAGATCGCGGGCAGGAACTGGATCACGGGCAGGAAGAAGCAGTAGATAGGTGTCCAGTCTTGTAGTCAAATACAGATATGAAGTAAAAGTTGCGGGCTTCACGTAGAACGCCCACGTATGGACATGAAAGATCCAACGCTGGCGCTGTGGCCATAGAAGCCAAAATTGAGATTATATTCATGAATGGACACCTATCCACTACCTCTTCTTGTCCGTGGTCCAGTTCCTGTGACGGCCTGCACAGACCTTCCCACATGACAAGCGGATACTTCCCAAGAGGCGAAGGATCTGACCAGAGGATCCCCTTAAAGGGGCAACCTCCCACTGTACCTATTTCTCTCTCTCTCTTCCTTTCCTCTCTAGTCTTGATATTCTCGTCAATAGAGTAATAGCTGCTTGCTGCCGGCCTTATCCCAGCTCCTCAGTAAGGTCCCCGTGATAATAACAATGACTTCTAAAGTCCGGCTAGGGTCTAAGTCTGGAACACGCCATAGCGCGGATGTTAAAGCAGGCCCAAAAGACCGCCATAGTGGGAGACTCGAGCAGAACATTCAGTCGTTAAATATGCCTTCGTTTAGCTCCGTTCCTGCTCCAAGTAATATGCAAAACAGACAAGGGCTATAATCAATCTGGAGAGGCAAGCACACAAGCACGGATGGCCGATGCGCGGCTGATGCGCGGCTGATGCATGGCTGATGTGTGGCTCCTCAACCCATTTTCCAGCCATAATCACGGATGGGCTAAGGCCCGTGGTACAAGGTACCTTGGAGCCCAACTGGTACCCGTTTGTACCAGGTTTGTACCCAAGTGGGATGATAGCTACTTCTGGGATGGGGACACCACCCATCCTTTCTTTCAACTAAGCAACTTCCAGAATACAGACCAGTAGCCACCTTTCGTGACCCTGGTCCTTATTCTGGAACCGCTACCCACAAGGCACAGATTTACCATGCCCCACCCACCACTCGGCCACCCCCTCCACTCGGACTGCAAAATCTACTGCCACACACCAAAACATCAACAACTCCACTTTACAGCGAAACCAGTCAATTCATGGTGTTTTCGGTTGCGAAAACTTTCAATCTACTCTTCTATGGCGGCTTAGTTATCGTATCTAGCCGGCCGGCGACTCTTTCGGCCCAAACGGGTCTCCCTAGGGGTCACAATCTCCTCTTCTTCTTCCGAATCAGAGCATTCATCCTCTTTCTCCTCATCAGTGGTATCTTCAACAACCACTGGCTAAAGCTCCGAGGGACGATGAAACAGAATCATGAGGAGGGAATGGGTCGTGAAAAAGACTAAGCAGGAAACACACCGTCAGCAAGACGTAGAATAATGAGCTTGGCGTTCAAGTTGGTGTTTCCTCGCGTCCGACGTACGTGTAAATGAGTGGTCACGAGTGACTCGTAACCAGCCTGACTCTGTGTCATGCATGTGTATTACACCACGTCATAGCTTCCTGACCAATCCTTTATACCCGCTCGACGCTTCTGTCACCCAATGATTTCTGTAAGCCACTGTAGTCTCGACGGCGAGAAGAAAAGGCGGGTGCTTTCAGCCAGAATATCCTCCTCTTGCAACGATACCGGTTGCTGCCTCAAAAATGAGCCACTGTACAGTAATATACAATAGAGTTTCCCTGATGGCACAGCGGCCCGAGCTTGGATCGGAAGGATACATATTAATCGCCTAGTACGGTGCCAGCTGACACCTGTTACGAACCAACAGAAACAGCGACCCGTTAGCAGGCCAAGCAGGAATCCATTGGCGGAGAATCAATGGGGAGTAGTTTCTTACGCGGCACTTGTGATGACAAAGAATAGTATGAAAGCGCAAGTGGGACGCACGATAAGGTATTTGGATGTTCAAGTGAGGGCACCATCAAGATGACTCATAGGCAGACGACGAGCCAGAGGAACTGTTGACCTATACAACTTGGATCCTGTTGCGTGGTCAGGTGACCCACTTAGGCTGGCATATTGCCCACATCCACTGCAGCTGCGCACCACCTCCAGACCTTCAACAACAAATACAGTAGATATGCAACCTTTTAGCCTCCAGGAGGGGGGTGGCTATCTTGGCCAATGGCGAGTTGAGTTGAGTTGAGTTTATTTAACGCCGTAGGGGCTCTAGGCCCCAGATCCTTATGGACATTTGGCGTGCAGGTAACTATCTCAGGGGCTAATATACAAGCCTTACTGTTGGCAGTGGTGGTGTTGCCGTGAACAATGTTGTTGTTGTTGTTCGGTCCTACTACATCTGACAGCTACGCGGAAGGCCTGATCTAGCTACAGGGCACGAACCATGTGACCTCTAACACTTACTGTACGGGAAGACGGGCATGACTCACTATTTCCCACGATAACCTGCAAATCAAACCTCGAGGGCACACATAGTATTCTGTCAGTTTCCGTTGGCCCCGCCATTTGGGCTCGTGCTCTGTGATATCTTGATTCCGCGGCTCCGTAGAGCTGACACGAAGCTTCCAACCTCCCATCCGCCAATAGGTCACCGTCTAGCCGACCGTATCACGAGCTCCTCCCACCGTAGCGGTTCACCGGCGATTTGAACGGTCGCGTTCGTCAGACCCTTGTATCGACGTATGTTCGGCATTGGGACTCTCTCGTATCGTGGTTCGGAGCCGTCGACGTCGGGTCGTCGCAAAGGCGACTCGTCGCTAAAGAGCGACGCGCGTCGTAATCCTCGTCGTAATCCTCGTCGTCAGGTCCTGCGGCGACGAGCGGCACGTCTCCTTTCCCTAAGGAAAATTTTTGCAGGAGAGAGTTGGTGTAACTTGACTTGCACGATAGCAAAGTGCTTTTTCACCCATTCTTGCTCGAGTCCCTGTGGCAGATTCGTGTCGAGTGCTCCTGAGAATGATCCTTCCGGCTGACACAGCTGCAAACACTCTATATTATCTCGACTACCTTTTAACTAGGAGTTTATTTCTACTTTTACACACGCCGTCTCCGTTAGAAGCTAACCACCTTTTTTCACAGGTGCATCGGTAGCGCTTCAAGCCCAATTGTTTTCCAATTGCCCAGGCTTCACGTTGTCAGACTTCAGGTCCTGTTCTAGGTAAGAATAAGACTTTGTATTTTAAAACATGGACTAATCGAATGCGCAAAGCTATATCAACCATCAACAAAACAGAGGATATCAGGATACAGTACAAACGCAACAAAAGCCCCAATGTTGGGAGCATGAATGTGATGGCCGCAAGTTCTCTACGTGGAGCAATCTTCGCCGACATCAACGTGAGAAGTCGGGACATGCACCTCGGTCTACAGATTCATCCAAACCGAATCATAACAGCAACCGGGTCATAAACAGGAGCTGAACTACTGCTTAGAACTGTATTGTAAGCAGGACATAAAAATCAAGCATGGTGTCCTAGTTGGGTGTTTCTTCGCTTCCGATATGCACGTAAATGAGTGGTTGCGAGTGACTCATAGTCAGCCTGGCTAATCCTTCAAAGCCGCTCGACAGGATCGAAGACGCGCCATCAGACCAGGCATATTTAGGGCTCCAGAAATAAGGAACCTTGCATACAGGACCTACTCTAGATGGTAAAGTCAGTGCACCATCAGGATGACTCGTAGGCAGACTTCAAGGTAGAGGGAGTTAACCTATGGATGTAGAAATCCCGGCTCCCGCAGTTTCTAATCAGTAAATTGATCTGCGTTATAACGGAAACGTGAGGCAAGTTAAAAGGCGACTAAGTATGGTTGGTTCTCACTGGTCGGTGGCATAACGGTGATCCAACCGGAAGCGATGGCCTCAGCTAATAAATAGGTGTGTTATAGTCAAAGAATTTCCAGCCATATAATTGGGCGAAGTCCTTTACTGTTGCCGACAACTCTGTCAGAAGGCGAACCATATGGGGGGGTAAAGATGTATGTTGTTCTGCAGAGGGCTACAATACTAATCAGGCCTGGAGGCCATGTATATATGCATGTATGATTCCTTTGTTCCCAGGATATGCTTCCTGGCAAACTCAGATACTCAGCAAACTGCTGGATCAAAGTGGTGCTGTCGATCAGTCACAGCCAACCATTCCCAGCTGCCTCTTGACTTACCTTACAGCCTGTGTCATGCATGCCGGATCATACATAACCAGGTGGCTGGGGTGGTAGGAAACGAATGAGTCATTAAGCGGCCCAGTGTGCCTAGTATCCAATCATTCTCTGAACGCCGATTTTATTCCACACCTCCTCTACGGTCTGCGAAGGCCCTGGGCTAGCGATGCTCGTCATCTCAAAAACGGAAGCATTATTGGACTGCCACTTCTCTAGCCGTATGTGGGCGCTTGAACAAAGTAAGTACCTTGCATACAATGATGATGGTCAGGTATACATGTAAGCATCTGCATTTTACTGACTTCTTCGACCTAGACGCGCAAATGCCATACACAATACACCTAGAGCAAACTTGGGCATCATGCATTGTCTCCTGCAGGGGTACCGAAACAACATCAAGCAGACAACCGCCGAAACCCATACACAAGGCATATTGAAATGGAGGCAGTAGAACTGAGCTCTAGGCAGCCAACCCTGATATTCGGACAAGAATCCTACACATCCAATTATTTCTTCTGTCCCGGGAGTTGTTTGTGAGTCATTCGGATGTTCGGATTGTATGGTGCCAACATACATGAAAACCGTGGCCTTGAAGGCTTGGCCCCGCCACATTGAGGGTTGGGGTGGCCGAGTGGTGGGTGGGCCACGGTATATTGTGAGTAAGTCAAACTATGTATAGATGGCTCGTCCGCTACCCAGTGAGGTCCATGTTCATCTCATCTTCGTCATAGCTGGTAACCTGTCCTGCATGTAGGTAACACACACATATCCAGGATGGCTACCGACACCGAATATCACTAACTGTGAGAATACCAAGCTGCCCATACCGTCCTGCCAGGACTAGTATCCGAAGAGATTCTCAAATGGCTTCGCTAGTTTATCATTACACCTACAATGCCCGTTGAAGCTACACATTGGGTTTGCTGCAAGGGAAGCTATCTTGAACCTAGCTTTGCTCAACTCTAATTTTTGTGTAGTGCTGGCATTGGGTGAGAAATTTGAAGGAGGAGCTTCTCTGGTGGAAATCGGATTGCAGCCACCCGAATTGTGGCACTTGCACACCATGCAACAATCTAGGGAAGCCGATAAAGAAGAAGGATGGCAGTGCAGATGAGTGAGTGGCGAGGACAGCGGGAGTGCAGTCGGAAAAGCGATACATTGGGCGATCACATGAAGCTTGAATCCCTGGGGGAGGTAACAATTTTCGTGCCTGTCCACGGTCATCAGGTTGTAGCCTAGGCGGTGGATGACGGACCACCCTCTCTATATCATAGGTTGGCAGTCTATGCTGGCTTCTGGGATGTTTATGAGTCATCCTCAAGGCACGCTCCAGGCTGGCCATCTGGTGAGAGATGTGTTCCATCCGATGGTCCATGTTGGATGATACCAAGTGGCAACGAAGGATTGGTCAGGAATCAGTGACATGGATGAAGTCAACCGCGACCACTCATTTACGCGCCCGCCAAAAGCGCGAAGATGCCAAGCTGAGACGCCAAGCCCAATCTCGTTGAGGCCAGCGGAAGCCGGTGTAGATCCGCCAGCGAACGCACATGGGTAGATAGCGGAAACTAGTTATTCCGCCCCGATCCAAGCCTCTCTGGCACAAAAGAGGCTCTCCCCAACTCTTGATTCTTCGACCTTGTACAGCTGAAATGACAGAGTTGTATTTCGTGACCACTGCGCCGACAAATACCATTCCACGATCCTTTCCTGTCTCAGTGAGACAGTTCAACTTTAAGGTAGCCTGAACGATTGTCTTGATGGCGCTATGCAATGGGGCGAGCCCCAATGACTCCTGACGAAGAATCCATTGGGCTAGCCGTATTTTCGCCCAAAGTGATCACCATGTCCAGCCCTGTCACGGCGAGCTTACTGAGGAGCTGGGACAAGGCCGGCAGCAAGCAGCTATTACTCTATTGACGAGAATATCAAGACTAAGGAGGAAAGGAAGAGAGAGAAAGCTAGGTACAGCGGGAGGTTGTCCCTTTAAGGCGATCCTCCAGTCAGATCCTTCCCTTATTGGGAGGTATCGGCTTATCATGTGGGAAGGTCTGTGCAGGCCGTCACAAGCCCGATGCCCATGTTTCCAGCTCCACACTCTAAATATGCAACCCAACGAGTGTGCCTGTTAACTATGTGTTAACAATCATTTCGCGATCATTCTCGCAAGTTTGAACCCGTCTATGTCTCCATTTTGCATATCCGGAAAGCACAACAAGTGTCGTATCATAAATCGTAATGAAAGCGCAGGTAGCCTGTAAGGTAAGCATTGGTTTGACACCAGGATGTGAGTACTTACCAGGAGTTCATCTGCCATAGTTGAGCAGCGCTGCACTGGAGATGCTTGAGGTGTGTGAAGCTATCTCGGCTTGCTAGCTACATATCTGGGGAGCAGGGCAACGGTGGTCTGTGCACCGTGGTTGGCCTGAGGCCACAACACAGGCCAACATCCTTGTCCAGCTCCGACAAGACGGCAAAATCCACGTCAAGTTGGGAGACTTCGGGCTATCACGGGACGGGGCCGAGTTGATGTCGGTCTGCGGCACTCGAAAGTACCTTGCAGCTGAGGTGTATTTGGAGGCACGACGTCAATCCGGAAAAGACAGACAGGGCTACACCGTGACTGTCGATGTCTGGTCCCTCGGTGTGGTGGGGTACGAGCTCGTATATGACATGCCACGATACAAGAGCGAGTATGAGAACAACGGGGTTAGGTGGTGCAAAAAGATTTCTAAGGAGCTCCAGGATGATCTAGGAAGAGATCCGAATGGACTCGGACAGTTCCTATCAAATACTATGGTGGTTCTTGAGCCGAAGTCACGGTCTTCTGCTGGTGATTGCTATAAGCAAGTGGCGTGCTTACTTGAAACCGAGAACGGGTCCTCTTACGCGTCGACCTCGGCTTCATACACCCAGGAAGAGAATCAGGCGACGTTCAGGAACGCTCTGCGGAATGATGGGTCTGGGGGTCCAACCATTATGGTTTATCAGCCAATGTCTGTGACTGTACTCAAGGACCCCGCGACTGCGCCGGCGTCGAAGAAGGCAGGCATTGAAAGGCCAAAGATCGACACCAAGCTGCTCGAGATCTATGCCCGGCATTTCTGCGCCAGAGGCTGGCTGCCACGACCCCCTAAACGACATCCGTCGAATGCGGCTGTACATGCCACCAAGGATGGACCCCTGGCAGGCCGAGTCGCTGTCGTTACGGGAGCGTCGTCCGGTATCGGGGCTGCCGTCGCTACTGCTTTGGCTAGAGAGGGCGCGCATGTCGCCATTGCTGCTCGCCGCACTGACGCCCTCGAGTCTCTCAAGAGCAAGATTGCCAGATCCGGCGGCAAAGTCCTTGTTCACAAGACAGATGTGACCAAACGCGAAGAAGTAGAATCGCTGATGCGTACGGCCAACGAGAAGCTCGGCCCCATCGATATCCTCGTCTCCTGTGCGGGAGTGATGTACTTCACGATGATGGCAAATGTGCAGACGGAAGAGTGGGAGCGCACCGTCGACGTGAACTGCAAGGGCCTTCTACACTGCTTGTCGTCGACGGTCCCATCAATGCTCTCGCGGGGCAGTGGCCACATCGTCGCCATCTCATCCGATGCCGGGCGAAAGGTGTTCCCGGGCCTGGGCGTCTACTCGGCCAGCAAGTTCTTCGTCGAGGCGACGCTGCAGAGTCTGCGTCTCGAGACTGCGGGCACCGGCCTGCGCGTCACCGCGGTCCAGCCCGGAAATACGGCCACGGATCTCCTGGGCATGTCGACTGATGCTGAGGCCATCAAGAAGTTCGGCGAGCCGACGGGCGCCAAGGTCCTTGAGCCGGCCGAGGTGGCGGATGCGATTATTTATGCGCTGCGCCAGCCGGCCCACGTTGCTGTGAATGAGGTTCTGATTGAGCCGCGGGATGAGCCGATCTAAGTTGAAGTTGTGGTGCGTTGGACTTAGAGGGTGGGCATGAGGTTGGAGGGTCAGACTATTTATAGACGACGTATGTCTTCGTGTTCCTAACCTAGCAGATTGAGATGATAGCGATGTTATAGAATCAATTTAGGCTTTGCTATAACCTTAAGTAAATAAATAATGGGGGTTTTCAGTGGCTTATAGTTAAATTTTAATCGGGTTTACTTCTACTTTTAAGGTTAATAGCGAAACTTTTATATACTTTTATTTAATAATTTAGAAATGTTTTATGTAAAAACGGATCTTCGTAATACAATTCCGCGAAGATTTATATATATATATTATATATAACTGTATAAATCTAATAGCTCTTATTATACGTAGCGATATAATTTAATAACTATTAAGCTATAAACATTAATTTATAAACGTTTTAATAGTTTTTCTTTTGGAACAGGCTTGACCGATCAACCATAGTACTCGAGTATAGGTCAAAGTCATAATGTTGCTGATTGGTGGTTTGAGAGGTCTAGCTGGACTCGCAGGTCTGGCTAAGTGACCTCACAATCCGGTATCTAATCTCTAATCTAATCATTTATATGTGTTTGGTTGGATGGTTTGAATATGGAATCGCATGGATCCAACATTTTCGATATTAAGATAACTTTAAGTAATAACGTAGATGACAAGCAAGCGGCAATTACAAGCGAACGGCAACTTCTTACCAACCTCCTAACTGCAATGTTAAACAACTTTACTACAACGCATTTAATTCAATTCAATCAATCGGATTCTTCTTCTTCAGAGGTTTCTATCTCTAACATCTCACACCCCCCTGCGGACCACACCCCCGCGGACCAGCGCGTTCTGACCCACAAACGCGTAATTCACCAACCACCAAAATTATGGTGATCCACTATCTACACCATCACTTTTGCATCTTTTTTTTCACAAAGCACACCATTTGAATCCTTATCCACTGTTGAATCTCATGATGTTATTTTGCGACTGTCAAATAAAAGCTGAAGCTGCCATTTTGGCTATCCAACGCGGAGCTCCAGTCCGCTCATCAGCCCTCGAATGGCAAATCAGTCGCTCGTACGTCAACCGACAAATCTTTGGCACCCTAACGCAGAATGAGACCAGCGCTCTATAACAGGCTCTCTCACCATATCTCAAACGTAAGCTGGCAAGCTGGGCCCTGGGGCAAGCACGGCTGGGTTATTCTCCGGCGGTCTCTAAGTTCCGTCTCATGGCCCATTGGATGCTCCATGCCACCGGGGATGCTCGAGAATTAGGGAAAAATTGGGCATCCAAGTTCCTGTCTCGAAACCCAGAAGTCAAGATAATGAAGTCTCGTGTTATTGACTACAACCGAGTGAATGGTGCTACAGCGGCAAATATCAACATTTTTTTCGATTGGTGTGACACCCCTAACGTGGCTAACCTCATGCCAGCACGCTGGTACAACGTCGACGAAATGGGAATCGCCCAGGGGGTTAGGGACTCCCATTGGGTGGTCTCCGAGGCCTCCGGCAACGTGGCTATGAAAAAAGGGGTTGAGAAGGGTGAATGGATAACTGCCCTAGAGTGTGTGAGCCGATCTGGTGAGACCTTGCCGCCGCTGGTGATTCTTAAGGGGGTTAACGTACAAGCCCAGTGATTTAGCAACCAAAATGAGGGCAAATTCACTAATTGGAGGTTTATTATGTCGTCCAATGGATGGACCTCAAATCTCATTGCATTAAAATGGCTTTAACGTATCTTTATTTCTCATATTGGGGAGGTCCACGGCAACACATGGGTGGTTTTGGTATGTGATGGCCACGACTCCCACACAAATGACAAGTTCTTAGCCACCTGCTTAAGAAACAAAGTATGGTTGATCTTTTATGAACCTCACTGCTCCCATGTAGTCCAGGTATTAGATGTGGGAGTCTTCAATTTGGTGAAGAAGAGGTTGAAGACCTTACTCCAAGAGACGCCCAGCGGCCGTCTGGGACTCAAGCCATCTAAGGAGGAGGTTTTGGAGTGCTACGAGCAGGCCCAGAAGGACACAATGACGCTCCTTAACATCAGAATTGCCTGGAAAAAGACTGGGATTGTTCCTCACAACAGAGCGGAGGCGTTGAAGTCAAAATATGTGATTCTGGAGGACAAGAGGGTGGCCAGGGCCCGCCAGAGGGACCCTAAGGCTTCCGAGCGAGCCACAACACCAGATTTTCTCGAGATGGTAGCTAAAACCATTGTCACAACACCCTCTGGAAGCCGGGCTTTGCAGGAGAGTGCTCAAAAGCTCGAAAAAAGGACCCTTCCTTTGGGAGGCCCTCTGAGCGCTTGTTGGTGCAGAAGGCTGGCAAGGCCATGGATGTTCAGGCTACTACCATTGCAAATCTACGGGCCAAATATGAGCTGCTTGAGGCTCAAGTGGCTAAAAAGGCTAATACCACTCGAAAAGCAGTCAAACCAACACCAGGGGAACAATTTGTCACAATGGCTAACATAAGGGAGGCCAAAATAGAGCTGAGGAACAAGAGGGTCTATAGGGACTCCGCTGCAGACAAAGAGGTCCCATAAGAGGTCCCTGGTGAAGATTTAGGGTCAGAATCGGATTCTGGGAGCTGTATTATGGTTAGAACACCACGACCTTAGTGTATTTAGCAACTGTGGTGGTTGTAGATGGCTTCATCTGAATGAGAGTGGTGTGGTGTGGAGTGGTCCGTGGGGGGGTGGTCCGCAGGGGGGTGTGAGATTCGCCCTCCGCAATCAGGCCGCTCAATGTACCATAACCGACAGCGCCGCCTCGGCCCTCCAGCACTGTAAGTATGTCCAGCTGTAGCCCGAGCAGAAGCGTAAAAACCGAGATCATATGGTGACTGAACGTACCGCCGTCGAGCGACCTGAGCATCCATCTTATATCTCCATTAGTCCGAAGGTGTCTGGTTTTGGCCAGGCTATCAATTGGAAGCGCGGTCAATTTGTTGAGCATGGTTTGGTAGTCCTCGAGACTGAACAGGACTTGGCCGAGCCACGTGTCCCCAATCTCGGCCCTGATTCGACGACATGTGCGCAGCAGTGAGCGCGCGTTCGGTGCAGGTTTGATGCGTGAATCCCGTATTCGATGCGTGTACGTAAGTAGCCTCAGCCCGTACGACAGCCTGGTTCCACGGAAGACCTGAGAATGAACGAGGTCCCGAAGCTTTTGTGGAAGCTTCTGAAACAGCGGGCTGCCTTCCTGTTCGTGGGTGGCCCTGCTGGTATCCGTCTTCTGCTTCTTCTTGTTCGCCGTGGCGAGGTCCAATTGACCGCAGGCGCGGTGTGTGCTCTTGGGTGGAAGGCGAAGTAAGAAAGGTGAGTGAAGTGGGACGGAAAGGGCAAACTGGCAAGCGCTATGCGTGTGTGGCGGTGAGGGGGAAAAGCGGCGACCAAACCCACCTCCTGATAGAGCACCTGTTCCCAGCTGCGACACCCAGGTTGCGAATAGGGGATAGGAGACAGGGGCTACATACCTCTACTTAGGTACCGTACGGTAGCTCCCATTGACCCATTTATATCCTGGTGTGCCGCTACGCTGGCGGGTCTCAGTGAACCTCATCTATCCATTTCACGAATCACGATAGACCCAACCCGAAGCACCAGACTGCTCTGCATCCAGGCGAACCAATTCACGCAGAACAAAGATTGCACCGATAAAGTTCATCAGCAAGCACGAACTCCCGGCGAACAAAACTCTGGGCCATCCCCACGTCAACCACGGCGTATTCACCGCGTCGGGGAGCCGAGATGAGTTCCACCCCGCGGACAGCATTGCGACCTTCCTGTACAACTGCAACCCAAAATTACTCAAGAAGTTCCTCGATATCGACGGGCCAGAGGTAGAGATAGCATGCAAGGCTCCCAAGCCATTCCAGACACTGCACATTGCACGGATCGGAGACACGGTCACGGCGAGTCGCCACGTTTTTCGTCCCACGGAAACGCAAGTATACCCAAAGTATGAATGGGCTAATAACATCGGGTCTCCAGTGTGGATACCCCTCGGAAGGAGAGATGGTCACGGTAATCGACTGTCTCATCGAGCGCAATGGGGAGTGGACGGCGGTGTCTGCCTCGAACGATGGATTTGAACCCGCAAGGCAGGAGGCCAAGGAGAGAATGGGCGCGGACTTGGCCCAGTCGATTCTGCTTCGCAGGCAGTGGGAGAGGGATTCTCCAGGATTCGAAATCAGTATCTTGATCAATGAAATGACATGTCATGACTTCGGAAAGAGATGAGACACGCCTTGTATCATAGGGGACTGCTCAGTGTCGCCTATGAAGTATATTTTTGCTGTAAAAACGGCGACCTTTTGTCAACTATTACATGCCAGAACCACGTGCTTTAGACATTCCACAGAGGTTCTAGACGACAGCTGCTAGCCGTGCCATTCGCTACTCATCATGTCAGACCCAGCCGTATCTGGCATTTCTTCCAAGACTCGATGCCGCGTCTAGCATGCTCCCCCGGCACCCGCTCCCCCTCCTCCACCAGCGTCCGCGAGAACAACTCCTGAGAAACAAACCCCTTATACCCCAACCCCCCAAATATCGCCTTGGCCACCTTCTCAACGGGCAGATAAGCGCCCCGTTCCTCCTCATACATGAACGTCCGCGCGTTCCGCGACCAGCTCATGCGCGCCGGCTGGCTCGCATCGTAGAAGGCGTGGCCCTCGACCAGCGGCGTCTCCATGCGCTCCGCGTCCACGATCTGCACGTAGAATACCTTGGCGACGTCGACCTCGCGCACCAGGCGCTCGAGCGAGGCCGCGAGGTCCGCGTCCGCGTTCGCCGTCTTGCCGTTCGCGGCCGTGGGGTCGCCCCACACGCGGCCGGCGATGTTGAAGGTGTCGAGGCAAAGGCCGAAGTTCGGCCGGTCGACGCGCCGCACCATGTCCCACGCCTGCTCCCACGTGTCGATGCGCGTCGACCAGCACAGGTTCTCGTACGCGAAACGTATGGGCGGGTCCTGCCGCGCGCCGAGGTCGGCTATCTCGCGCAGGTCCGACGCGATGAGCGACTTGTCTTCCGTGACTTGGTCCGCGGGCAGCATGTTGGCCGGGATCCCGATGGCGTCTGTGCGCAGCACCTTGGCGAGCTCGAACCAGAATTTGAGCTTTTCGATCATGCGGTCGTGCTGCGCCCGGTCGAGCAGCCCGTCGTAGTTACCGAAGGGTTGGAGGCTGAGGATGGTGAGGCCGAGGTCTTGGCATAGTTGGTGAATATATGCAGCGGCGGCCTTCAGGTCCTCTGACGAGGGTGAGTTATTCTTGGATATTCCCTTGGCGGCGTACTCGAGGTCCTCGTAGAATAGCTCGATGCCTTTGAACCCCTTGTCGGCGGCTTGCTTGAGCTTGTCGTCGAGGTTGTGGAGCCAGGCTCGGCCGAGGGAAGCGGAGAAGATTGCGGGCTGGTAGTTCGCCATGTTGTGGTTCTTGTTCTTCAAATTGATGTGCATATTGAGAGGGGAGTACCTGGTCGAACTTTATGCTTTTGAAAGTTGCCAGCCTCTCACTGATCAGATTGTGTTCAATGTGCTGCAACTTCAATGACTCGATGTCCGTGACAAGAGCATGGACGTCATGGCGGCTCCGGATGAAGGAATACCCACCGCAATGCCCCGCTGCCCCGTCTCTACAGACCCGTGTCACAAGAACGGTCAACTCAGCAAGGCAACTCAACAAGGTACCTCAAACTGCAGGTGGTCTTTCATGTTTGAGCGGTGATGCGAATTTCATATCGACTTTCACCAATCAATCGTAATGACGCAAGTCTCTAAGACGGGCGGTGGAGACACATCTCGCTATAGGTACCGCCACAAGAGCTCGCACAGCTTAACAACAATGATCACGCTGTACGGGCGAGGGTCCTCAATGAACATAATTCAAATCTCTTGGCATACATGTAGTCATTTGCTGATAATAATACCGAGTTTCATACGCGGGCTGCCAATGCTACGCAAGTACTTGGATGACAAAGGGATGTGTAAGTTATGCATTTAGCCCCATCACTTGCGCTAAGAATATGAAAGCTAATGTCAGTCCATTACGGTACTCGTGTGCATCTCTCCCCTTTGGTTTGGTTCCAATAACGAGTGTCTGTAATGGAGCTGAACCTAAGCTGCCGTCCCCTCCGCGCGGAGCCCTCGCACCGTTTTTGGTACTCTTAGATCCCATTGACACTCTCATCGTGTCCCCAGGCGCCGCAACGCTCCGAACACTGTGAGCTGTCACCGTTGGGAATGCACTGGAAGCCTTGTAGTCAGTACTCGCTCTTTTGTCATGACTAGTTTTGAGGAGTCTCTGGGGCATGTCTGATGAGCTCTAGCGGCAGCCATTAAGGGATGTCACGCACACAGCCGCATGACCGACTCATTACGGTTGATATGACACGGCCGAAGAAGGATTGAGCCCCATGGTGAGCTTCAAGCCAGTGGCGCCAAATGGACTCGCCGCTGAAGAAGGATCACGCTGTGGCACTCGGGCGCGGTGCCGGTGTACTCGTTGCCGCCATGCCCCTTTCGCGACTTAGCAAACACTCCATTCCTGATATCATAACTTTCACTAGTCCCGCTCGTTGACATTCATGCCAAGTACCTAAGGCAGCTCCTCCCTTCCGGTCGAAGAGCTTGAAAAATAAATTAAATCGTGAATCGTCGAGGCAGGCAGGTGACAAGTCGAGGTTACGTAAGCTACGACCGACTGCCTAAAGAATAGGTTCGATGGACAGCCAGCCTCTTGGATCAGGTCATGGTAAAGCTCCGTTATGCTAAGGACGCCTATCCAACCAAAATCGGACGAGTGAATCCTTGCGTGGGTAGTATCCGCTCATTGTCCGTACCACGCTTAGGCGATTACAGTATCAACTGTTGCTCGAGGGCCCTTACCTTTCAACATTACGAGTTTTGCAACCGAACAACAACGATCAAGTACCAGTTAAGTCACTACAATGAAGGGTTTGATTATATTTGAACGTTGAGATGCCTAACCATCCTTAGCCCTTGATACACCGTCCATAAATGGTATGCGAATTCTGAAACCCTCGAGCATGCATTGGCTAATACCTGTAGATTCTACGCCGGGTTTGCAACCGCGTGCTCCAACTCCGGAGGATCCGCCCGCCGGAACTTTGGAGAGCCATCCCATACACCGCCCGCGAAACTCTGCAAAAGCGAGGTGCCTCGGAGAGAGCCCAGCACCGCGAGGTTGGACTTTTGATACGGATGTTATGTGCCAATCGCATACAATCAGATCTCGGGCGGTTTATCGGCATGTGCGGCTTCAGACGAATCGCCCAAAGAGCGTGGGATGCGTCGTCAACTCTCACGAACAGATGGAAGTAGGTTGAAGAGACTCTGGGTTGAAGGCACCCCTCCTTCTCGTAGACCTCGTCCAGCTCGACAAAGAAGCCCTCCTGGTCCTCGGCCACATAGGTCTGGTAGTTCAAGGTCCGGTAGTCCATTTTCATAATAGGATATGGCATATCGTCTGCCACAAGAGCCTGCAGACTCGCTTGATAAGGATTAGGATGGGCCGCGGCATATTCAATGTTTATACCATCGTCTGGCGCAGGCGCAATACGAGACAATGAAGCGCCACCAGTCCGAACGTAATAGTCGGGACAGTTGTCGTTCCCTTCGAAAAGCCAAAAATCGCGAGTCTGTTCCAGCTTCTAGAAAGCGAGGAATTTATCGACGTCCGCGTGATTGCGGAAGTCTATCGACTGAAGCAAGGCCCAGTAGTCACGATCAGAGACATACTGGACGACGGGCGCGTTCTGCCAGATCCTCATAGACTGCACTGTAGATGGTGTGGGGTATCAACTCGAGGCTGAGCTGCGAGGGGAAGTCGAAGTGGATATGATTGTGATTCTGAACCTTCACGGGAGGAGGGCTGGCAGTCCGCTCTCGTGCCTTCTCCAATGCCTCCACCTTGTCTTCAAGGTCGAAGAACCATGTTTGGAGTGTGGCGTTTCTGCTCTTCAAGACTCGCATCTCCTCGTGGTAATGGTCTTGGATGTTGCGGATCTCCTGCATGTCATTGATGGTGCTGACGGAGTTATCCCTGATGTTTTGTTCAAGCCCAGAGACGCGGTCTGCTAGCGTCGCAAAGTGCCGGCCTGCTTCCGACTCTCCTCAGCAGTATTTTGACAAGGTTCAATGGGCTCATTTGCGTCGGAGGCTGGCCATCGAGGTCAGTCTGACTCGAGGAGGTAATGTGCGTTCCGGGTTGGCTCACCGCAATTCTGTCTCTTGGACGCGCGATTACTTTCATCGCCTGATTCTAGGGAGGCACGCCGTCTCCTGTTTCCGAGCATCTCCATTGCGTGTTTGAAATTGCGAAACCCGGGACCTTGAAGGCTACTGAAGTCTTGAAGGCTCCTTAGTATGGCTAAAGCTGGCGATGAGAGCCGGGATATATCCAGTCCGCGAGCTATACGAGAAAGTTGACCTGCGCTAAAATAGGGAAGACTGGTATCAAAAGTCAACAGGATCGCGAGATGATGGATGAGAATTGAGAACAAGACGCGTCCAGGCAATCCTGGACGCGTCTTATTCACCTGGCCTGTGCGTGAAACCCCCTAAGGTTAAACCTGGTCCCTTGCATTGTCCACTTCGGAAAATACCGAAATAGTGCCCTCAGTGAGGGTAAGGATGGCGTCATAAAAAACACGATACAACACAATTCCTGTGTTGTATTGTGTTGTATTGTATCTTTCAATAGAACATGTGTGGTTATTAGTGGTAACGTAGTGGATAGTACCTGGTGGTACCACGGACCACCCAGATTTAGCTCGGAAATCTTTGGCGGTCGGAAGAAATTGTCGGTAGCCGATAGTTATGTTTTTAGATGAAACACGGTGTTCTTCCACCCCTAAGTGGGGGCATCGCCATCTCCATCAAACGCCGCAAAAACCAAGCGGTCCGTGTCTGTCAGGCGCTGCACCGCCTCCCAATTACCGAGGCACAGTAAGGGACCTCCACCATCGTAATGCCCGCCTCGTATTCAGCTCCGGTATCCGGTTGCTGCCAAAAGGCGTGAACGGACACGATGGAATGATTGAAATCTCTTCTAGGGCTGGACGCTACGGCGGCTGTATCCGACCGTTGGATCCATGAGGTTATGAGATGCCTACCGTGGTCAATGCGACGCTGGGTTGGTATATAAAATGTGGTTGTCCGCCACGTTATGGGATGAGAAGTTCTGATCACCGCCGTCTGCTCCCACCCACAGGTTCATTACATTCACTCGTTCAGTATGATTTACAACGCTCGTTCATCACTCGGTGCCATTGCGCTCGCACCTCTCGTTTCGGCTGCAGTCCTTGACCTGCCCATCACATTCAGGAACACATACGTTGGTCATCCACTCCCATACCCGATTGGCAGCCAGCTGACAATCTCCTCATATAGGCTATAGTCGATGTAGCAATAGGGACACCCGCCAAGACCCACTCCTTGATGTTCGACACAGGCAGTGCCACCGCGTGGATTGTCGACGCCGAGTGTGCTGAGGGTTGTAACAATGACAGCGGGTGAGTACTCCAGCAGGGTCCAGAGCCCGACATTGAGCACTAACGAATGTGGACAGATGGTCACGAGATGGGTACAACCGCAACGAATCGTCAAGCTCATCCGAGCTCGGCACGTACGCCGAGATCTCCTACCTCGGCGGTGTCACCTCTGGCCCGGGAGTGGCAGACACCTTCTCCCTGGGCGACGCAAAATGGTCGCAGTCCTTCATGGATGCCAACGAGAGCTCATGGACCGTTTTGCCCGCTGATGGCTTCCTCGGGCTGGCCTTCTCCACCATCACCGATGCCGGGACTAAGACCATGGTTGAGACCATGATGCAGGCCCACCTGCTAGACGAGCCCCGATTCAGCATCTACTACGGCACAGAACTCAACGACACCGGCAATACGGCTGGCAAGGGCGTGCTGACGATTGGAGGCTCGGAGGAGGAGAAGTACGTCGATGGTGACTTGACGTGGGTCCCGTTGCAGAGGATCAATGGCGAGTACGAGGTGTGGCGATCAACGCTGCGCATTTTAACCGGCAGCGAGGGTATCAGTGGGAACGGCTCGTTGACAGACACGCAGTTCTACCCCGACGACGCATGGGGCGTCTTCGACAGCGGCGCCGGCACCATCACCGTGCCGCCGCTGCAAGTCGACGCCCTCTACCAGTCCATTGGGATGAACTACACGGCGATCCTCAACGGCGACCACATCCCGCTCTGCACCGAGTTCAACTCGTCCTGGTCCGTGTCTTTCACGTTTGGCGACGATGACGCGAGTGCCAGCACTGTGACCATTACCGGAGACCAGTTGGCGCGTCCTGGGTTTGCCTACCGTGACGATGCGTGCAACCCGCCGTTCGACGGTGGCGACACCGATGGCTTCTTTCTCTTTGGAACGGCCCTGTTGAATCAGTTCTATACCGTGTTCGACTTTGGAGCCGAGAACGTCGAGGACTACGAGCCGCGCGTCGGATTCGGGCAGCTGAAGGAGGAGTATGCACCATAGGTGTCCAGATTACAACTTTTGAGGCCAATACATACATGGCTTTAGCACTTTTGAGCTCACACAGCTTTTAGGTCAGGACTGCGAAAAGTGGTATAATAGCGTACAGGACGTCAAGTCCCCAGGTCCCGCCATGTAATTTGCTACAGTAAGGACTCTAAGGTCCGTTTGGTACAATGATCGCCAGGCCGCCGTCGCGCCGGCCACCGCTTGCCATGGCAAGTTTACATGGTCTATTTCTGTGGTTCCAGCTTCTTTTCCATCGCATCGACGTAGGTGGCGCAATTGTTGTCCTTGACGTCGAATTTCGGATGGGCTTTCTTGTATTCGCCGGCTGTGAAGATTAGTACCGTCCGGCTTGACTCCAGTCTGGGCGACACTCACCAAATTTATCAGCATCGTTCGCTTTGTCGGTCTTGCCCAGAAACGCCAAGCCTGCATTCTCCGGCCCATTCCAGTCTGACGGTCCACGATACCTCGAGAGAGTGAGGTCCCAGGCCTTGGCCTCAAAGTGCCGCCAGCCGTCTCTTTCGGTCACCTTGCCTAAGACAAGCCAGACATGCGCAAACCCCAGCTTCTTCTGCAGGTTCTTCACCTCTTCCGGGAGTTGCTCGTTGGCTGCCTTTTGTGTTGCGGTGTAGTCCTTCTCGGTAAGCGTCTGCTTGAAGACGTACCACTTGCCTACGTCCAGGCTGTTGTGCCATTGGGCGACTGCCTGGTATGCCTTTGTTCCTTTGATATCGCCATCGCCGCGCTTCAAGGCGGGTAGGTCCCTGGTGGCGAAGGGTTCGTGCTTGACGACGGGGTTTGCGGCGGCCAGGCAGGCCAGGAACGCGGTGACGACGTATGCGAGCTGCATCGTTGCGTCTGTCCGCGACGGTCCAAGAGGTGGTGAATATCGAGCGAAACCTCGAAAGCTTTACGATAATTTCTTAGGTAGTGAATTGATGTGTCTCTAGGAGAATGGAGAAACAAATTCTGATTGCGTTTTGTATACCAGAGAAAACAGCTGGCAGCTTAGATGGTCACCGTTGATGCCCTTTATATGGCGGGACTTCAAGCTCTTTAAATGAAAACGACAAGTTACTTTCACGCAGAGCGCATGCATGTCACCAGCATGGTAAGTAGTATCGCGGCGCCATGTCGGGGCTGGTATACTCTCTGCCATATTTCTATGTCAAGTTACCGTTGATAATTAACCAAACTGATAGTACGCGATGACATCCGAGGTATCTTCCCATATAAAAAGAACAAGAAGTATCCACACGCGTCTAGGGGACCTAGTCTAGCGTTCGCGCTACTCCTTAACATACTGGTGACCTAGATATTAATTTGGCATATTTCTATTGATAGTTACCGGCCAGAGCATGTTGTGGTTAATGACGTTAATATTATGTGGTCCATACGTAAATAAGTGGTTCATGTTTCCATCGCTCCTTCGCTCTTCAATAATAAAATATCCCGGTAGAATGCTAAGCTCCGACGTCCCCTCTACCTCCCGGCAGTCCCGCGAATCCGGGATCAGTAGGGCTGAAGGAAGCAGCGGCCTGGTCAACTGCTAATAATATACCTTACGCATTGTGTAATGTATCATGTGTGTGGCGAAATCGCATGGTAATTGCGGCAAAGCTGGTGTAATATTAGCAGCCGTGGTCCCGCCTACATTATCACATCATCAACAACTTCCCATTCCGGAATTAGTGGTGTATGAGGGACCGCGGAGGATTTTGACGCCATTCTGTGCCGTTCTCATTGTCGCCTGTAATAGTGGAGTAGGATAAGTTGCCACTCGAGCAGTTCGTGCCTCTTCGATGCTTTAGCCTTTGAGCGAGGCGTTATTCGGGGGCGTGTCTGAATTGGCCCTTTGCATCGCTGCTAGATCTTCCACACCGGGAGCTATCCTGTGTATGTGACACCCCGTTGATGACCTAGCTCCGACTGGACCCTGGTTATCTAGCGTAAGAATGATCCCGCTGGTTCGATGCGTCCAAGAGGGCCTAGGCCAATGAAGATCACCACTATAGTATACAATGCTACTCTGAAGATGCGGAATGCGTAGTTGCTGGGGTGCTTTCGAAATGTGCAACTCATTGCGATCTTTAGGGCGTCTATCGCAGCGCGTGTTCGATGGAATGGCGAGTGGTCGAGGGGCGCATGCGTTTGCTCCTTGGCACATGAAGAGCATAAGATTGAAAGCACTGACCAAAGCTGGATGTACAACCCGACGCAGACTTTGGAAGACTTAACCTTGTCATCCAGATGACAGCAGCTTCTTTTCGGTCATCCCTTTACCGTACACACTCTGGTCGCGATCGAGCAACTCGGTAGGCCGTATCCTCAGATTATCCGCCCAAATGCTGTCCCAATTATTGTGTCTTCTGGCCGGGCTTACGGTGCTGCTACTTGTCAGACGCACCGTGAGCTCTCGGTCACAGTCTTCGCTACCACTCCCGCCGGGTATGAATGCCAGCTCTCTTCATGATCTCATTTGGATGTAGTGCTAGTCACGTACTTACGAATTCAACTCAGGACCCCGTCCTTTGCCGGTCATTGGCAACCTCCACCAAGCTCCCAAGTCTCACCCTTGGCTACAATATTATGAGTGGAGCAAGATCTATGGGCCGATCCAATATCTCAATATGGGAGGTCAGCCCATACCATGCCCCACCCACCACTCGGCCACCCCCACCACTCGGACTGCAAAATCTACTGCCACACACCAAAACATCAACAACTTCACTTATACCGGATCCAGCTGTTTTTGAAGGGATTCGCGATGTAATTAGTTCACTGAATAGCTCTTTTCTTGAGGTTTACCCCAATATAGATTCTTTTAGCCAGACCCGCCGATGAGGGGTCCCCCCGCTCGTGGTTTCTACCCCTCATGAGGGCAAATTTGCCCTTTATGCACCCGTTCTCTTCTTCTTTTATATGCAACGCAGCATCGTGACTCTTGAAATGCCTTCTTATACGGAGGATATTATGGCAGATACCATACTAGATGTCACCAATAACAAGCTGTCGGTCCGAAAATCCGCTCAGAAATAGGGTATCCCTAAGCAGACGCTGTCTGACCGCCTCAATGGCAAACCTTCAAAGGGAGAGACACAGCAGCCAAAAAGAAGACTATCCGACGAGCATGAAACACGCCTAGCCCAGTGGATACTTCGTCAGGAGTCTCTTGGGCTCGCCCCATCGCATAGCGCCGTCAAGGCAATCGTTCAGGCTACCTCTAAGTTAAACGGCATCACTGAGACAGTTGGGAAGAACTGGATGGATGGATTTCTTCGCCATAACTCCCAAATAAAGACGAAAATTGGCCGCAGACAGGAAGCCGCTCGATTTAAGGGCTTTACGCCGAAGTCTGTTAACTGGTACTTCGATCATTGCGAGGATTTTGATTGGGTGAAGCCCCAGAACACATACAACGTAGATAAGGGCGGTATTATGGCGGGTTCTGGTACGGGAAAGCCCCTGAATAATCCCTGAATAATCCCTTGTTAACTTTATCCATTAACTAACCTATCTAGGGCTTGATGGTCTCGTTTTGGGCAGCGCGGAGACGAAAAAGACCTTCTTAAAGAGCGACCAAGGCCGCGGCTGGACCTCCTTCATTGAGGCCATTTCCGCTACGGGCAAGGCCCCCACGCCAGGCATTATATTCAAAGGAAAAGATCTCCAGGCCCAGTGGTTCCTTCGGGAGTTCAGAGAGATCGCCTCCTGGCATTATATATGCACTGATAATGGCTGGACGAATAACGCAGTTGCCGTGGAGTGGTTGGAAAGTGTTTTCCTCCCTCAAGCCAACCAGGTACGAGAAGATGACAATTTTGAAGCGGTACTCTTGATCTTTAATGGACATAAGAGCCATACCTCTGTACATACTAACTCCTTTATTTCTCTCTATTTTATTTCATTTGAAATCCATAGATATATAACTAACCATTTAGTGGTAGGATGAATTCATAACTACGTGCTTCTTAAACAACGTTCAGCTTTGTTTTCTTCCATCACATACCTCCCACGGGCTTCAACCACTTAATAACGGCCCCTTTAATGCCGTGAAAGCTGCTTACCGCAAACATATCGCTCAGTTAGCTACTCTAACTGATGCTGCCCCTGTGAACAAGATCAATTTCATCAGATGCTACTCCAAGGCGAGGAACAACACTTTTTCCGTGATGGAGACCTCGTCTCCTCGTCGGTCAAGAAGCAGCGCCATCACCTCCTTGCCATTCCCGTTCCCTGCTGCCGCCTTGACCACTTCTTCTGTGACGGGGACCTCGTCTCCTCGTCGGTCAAGAAGCAGCGCCATCACCTCCTTGCCATTCCCGTTCCCTGCTGCCGCCTTGACCACTTCTTCTGTGACGGGGACCTCGTCTCCTCGTCGGTCAAGAAGCAGCGCCATCACCTCCCTGGCATTCCAATAGTTCTTTGCTGCCGCCTTGACCACTTCTTCTGTGATGGATACCTCGTCTCCTCGTCGGTCAAGAAGCAACGCCATCACCTCCATGCCATTCCTTCCATTCCCTGCTGCCGCCTTGACCACTTCTTCTGTGATGGACACCTCGTCTCCACGTCGGTCAAGAAGCAGCGCTATCACCTCCACACCATTCCTTCCGTTCCTCGCTGCAGACTTAACCACTTTGATACTCATTTGTGCCTTGTACTCTAGCAATTGTGTGATTACAATCTCATTCCCACCAATGGCTGCCGCACTCAGGGGTGTTTCGTTGTGACTATCTTCGCACTCCAATATTGCCATAATATCGGAAGCCATTTGTTGATTTGGACTGTTACGCAAGTAGTCCAAAATGGCCGGGATGCCACAGTAACCTGCGATGTGCAAAATTGAGGCTCGTCTCGGAAGTTTCACGTGAACCCTGTACCGGTCACTGGCTCTATAAAGCCAAGTGTCTCTAAGTGGAGACTTAACTTCGAAAAAAATCGCCTGCGTATGCTTGACTTCGAAGACGTCTCCTGCGAGCCTTGCGTGTGAATCCCAATAATCAGATGCGTAGGAAGAGAACTCTTTCTCCCACCGTGGACGATCCTTGATCAGCTCAAAATCGCAAATGAGCTGATCTACACACTTGTATGCAATGTGTGCATGGAAAGAGACTTCCTGGACCCACTGTTGCGCATTGTCGCCCGCGAGGAAATCCTTTACCGACTGGTGCAGCAGGAGAACCTGCTCATCCTGAATTATGACCAGAAGCCGGCAGGTGGCAATATCATCTCGAGTGAATTGAATGCGGGTCTCTTGGTCCTCGTCGAGGTAAGTTTGGCAAACTGCAGATAACTCGGGGATGGTAAGTGGCCGAAATGATACCGTGACAAGACCTAGAATTTGTTTGACGACTTTGGGGTTTTGCCCGGGAGCGTCAAGAGCGTTGTCAAGTAGTCTCTTATACAAGGCATTAAGCCCAGACGGCATCTTCTCTAGGTGGTCGACCGCATTTTTAGACGAAACCTGATCTAGCTCTTCGCATCCCAAGCCAACCCATAGGAATGTGCTCTCGGATTTTTCCTCTAGAATGTCTGTGATCCGCTTTTTCACCCGGTCCGTGTACTGCTTTCTGACCGCAAGCTCTGCAACCTTTTCACCAACGAAGCGATGTATGTCCCTTTTCGACTCGGGAAATGAGGCTAGTTCCTTGTTAGAAAACACCTTTAGACGTTCCTGGATCTCACGGTAAGGTCGGCTTGTGATGATTAGCCGGATGTCGGTTGCAAAGCTCTTGTGTTGGAAATCGTGCTGCAGTTGCTTCATGAGAATCTGCTGCGATTCTTGATCACACTCATCCAAGGCATCGATGATGAAGAACTTATGGCCGGTGGCTTCATCGGCGGCCATTTTGTGCAAAACAGTCCATAAAGCGTCGAATGAATCAAAGATCTTCTTTCCGCGCTCGCGGTATTTTGGCAGGAGGTAGTCGAGGAGAAGTCGCGGATGTTGTTGAATGAGCTGCAGGATAAGGCCTCGGACCACTGACGTCACTGACCTACGGGTGTCTAAACTGGAATCGCAGAACTTACCTAAAGGCAAGAAGGCTCTGCCGACCAAATGGGTTACAGATCAACGATTTGGACCTGTTGGTGAATTCCTACGTAACAGAGCTCGTCTAGCTGTCTGTGGCAACTTTGAAGAAGACGACAACTGGTCTGTTCAGGACGTATATGCTGCTGTTGCACACGCAGTCTCCGTACGGATCTTCTTTACCTTGATGGGAGTGCTAGGCCTTGTCGGTTTGCAATACGACATGGTTACAGCCTTTCTTAACAGCAAGATTCCTGACGAATACGAGATCTACTGCATGCAACCCCAAGGCTACTCTGATGGAACCAAGCGCGTCTGGAAGCTCAACCAAGCTCTGTATGGCCTTCGCAAGGCTCCCCTGTGGTGGTTTGAGACCCTTGTTAAAGTCATGAAGGACGCTGGATTCGTCCCCATGTCAACAGAGATGTGTCTCTTCAAACATGAGAAGCTGGGCGTACTGGTTCTTATCTATGTGGACGACATCCTGGTCGCTGGTCCTACCTTGAAGGATTGTGAGACCGTTCGTGACCTCTTGGCCGCTCACTTTGAGCTTAAGGAGATGGGATTGATATCCAAGTTCCTTGGACTCCGAATTCGACGGAACCTTGATACGAATCAGGTATTCATTGACCAAGAGGAATACATCAAGAAGATTGTGTCCAAGTATGGCGAGGAGACCACTAAATACACGGGAACACCCTGGAAGACAGACACTGTGATTCCGCCTTCTTGGGAATCAGTTTCAAACGTTCTGAAGAAGCGTTATCTCAAACAGACTGGTTCCCTTAACTATGCCTCCACTAATACACGCCCTGACATTGTAAAGACCGTCAGCACGTTGTGTGAGGCCAATTCCAACCCTGGGAAGACCCACTTGGAGATACTCAAGCATCTCTGGCGTTACTTGGCCAACACTGCGTCCTTTGGCATCACCCTGGGAGGAAAACACCCAATTGACGACCTGAAGATCAGAATCTGGGCCGATGCTGCATTTGCAGACGTTCTAGGCTGCAGAAAGTTAACAGGAGCGCATATTGCCTTCGTCTGTGGCGGTCCAATTTACTGGAAATCCAAGAAACAACTGCTTGTAGTCACCAGCAGTACGGAGGCAGAATTCATCAACCTCACCCTTCTTCTAGTCGACTTGTGTTTATACCCCGGCTGGTTCTTACGTGACTGTGACGCCGAAGTGAGTGCACCATCAAGATAAGTCATAGTCAGACCACAATCCAAAGGGACTGTTAACCTATCGAGGCAGACACTTTGGATCCGACGGTTTTATACAGGGGGTGATGCCAGCCTTACCACCATTAATAACCAATCGTTCAAGTAGTGGCACACGTTAGAGTGGCAGTGTGGTCTTTTAGTGTCATACACTCTTTCATTCGCAGCATCATTGTGCATGCTGGGCTACCTGAAGCCCTGCAGCCAGCTGGTAGGCCTGACCTACCTGACGGCCCTCATATAGCTGCTTATTCTGGTCCGTATACGTACAAACACAAGTCGACTAGGAAGATAACTCTGTCACCGGAGTTTGTCATTCACGACTTGCAATAAGAACCCTCGAAGATCGCCGGAACCAAAGAACACTCAAAGTGTCCACCCTTATCATGGCTTTTCCTAACCACTGCTATCTCGGCTTTCACCGCGGATTCGTCTGGCTCGATACTCGGCCCGAGCCTCCCTCCCGACCACGCAGCGATCATGAAAGGATCGCTCTACCATCGATTCGACAAGACCCATTCCTAGCCAAACTTGCTTTCCTGAGTAATGACCGTATCCTATCCTAGTAGCGCTCCAGCAAGTTATATTCCAGCCATAAAACCAAACCCAGTGCAGCGTTCCATCTCGTGTCCTTCGTTCCTCTTTCCTCCTACAACTACAAGTCTTGGCACCCACTGTTAATATTTCGGAAAATGACGCATACAATTTGTGTGTGAAAATTTCGCGTGCACTAACAGCAGCTGTTTTTGGCTGTAGTAGGAGAATACGGGAGATCCGGCTTAGAGACAGTCGACAACAGCTCAGTGACGACGACGGCGACCTCGAAGTCGTCGTCGCCGTCGTGACGGCTCCAGACCTTAGGGAAAGGAGACGTGCCGCTCGTCGCCGCAGGACCTGACGACGAGGATCACGACGCGCGTCGCTCTTTAGCAACGACCCGACGTCGACGGCCCCGAACCACGATACGAGAGAGTCCCGATGCCGAACATACGTCGATAAAAGGGGCTGACGAACGCGACCGTTCAAATCGCCGGTGAACCGCTACGGTGGGAGGAGCTCGTGATAAGGTCGGCTAGACGGTGACCTATTGGCGGATGGGAGGTTGGAAGCTTCGTGTCAGCTCTACGGAGCCCCGGAATCAAGGATATCACAGATCAGGATAGATGTCGATACCAACCCTCACCCGGAGGAGGGGGGACACGATGAGAACCGCTGCTTAGATGCAGTGGCTGTTTCCGAACGAGATCTGCTAGCTGGGCAGCTGTATGTATATATATAGTATGAGACCTAGCCTAGCACGCCTGCGCACCCTTTTGGAGGCCCAGGGCCGCCGCTATGCGGCGGGCCCCCTGGCGTTAAATGCTACTACTACTACTACTACTACTACTACTACTACTGCAGCATTTCGGGTAACCGACTACGACCTAGATATCAAAGAGCACGTGGCCAAACGGCGGGCCAACGGAGGCTATTAGGAATACTATGTGTGCCCTCGAGGTTAGATTTGTGGGTTGTCGTAGGAACCGAGCAAGCAATTCTCGGTTTCCTGTATGGGAAGGCATTTAGTTACCCCCCTGAGATAGTCACCTACACGCCAAATACCCCTAGAAAGGTCGGGCTCAAAGCCATTTACGGCGTTAAATATACTAAACTAAACTAAACAATTGCCTTCCGCTGCTAGTGTCATGGAATTGGTATTGTTGGTATGGTACTAAGAGAGACCAGGAAGGCGAGCTGAAATGTATGGTGAAATCGGAGTAATGGCGAAGCGGCTTCAGAGTTCCAAACGAGTCGCATTAGGCAGGTCCACTCCTACTCCATGATCGGTATATGATTATACCCGCGTCTAGTGAGTCACTCAGCTATGCTCTGTCTGAGTCTCTTCCTCAAGAACTGACCATCCAAACCCTTTCTGCTTCGCAGGGTGGCTGTACTGCATACCTACGTGAGGTGGCAATGGAGATCATAGGATTATTTGGACAACAGTCAAGAAGGAAGAAACATGATCATGAGTGGGACTGGATCCAGAACAGGAGCTGAACTACGGGTTTCATAAAGCGACATCCGGCCAGTATAAGGTCTGCTAGAAAGTAAGCTTTTACATCGAATAGACAATAAATAAAAACGTTCGCTTCCTGCCCTTAATGCACGCCGACTATTCTCCCCATTGCACGTGCTTATCTTAAAGACAGGCCAGGAACTCGCTATCCTCTCTAAGCTTCCCTACTACTCATGGCTTGCTTGTTACCAGAGCCGATGGACGATAAGTACTTCAAAGCAACCTACGTCACGCCATGGTAGCATAAAGGGGGCTTTTTAGTTAGGACCCGACGCCTTGCGATGTTCATGCTGGCTTAACGACAAGTTGCTGCAGGCTGAGATGCTGACCGTGGCATTTTATATTGACGTAAGAGAAAAGCAAGAGTTCGAAAAAACCAGTTCACAAAGTCGCATGCGAAATACAAACAAGAACAAAAGAAGAACATGGAACCACAGAAAATCTTAAAAGCTTAGAGATATGATATGCACATTATATACGTTTAATACGAGCTTTGTTTTATTAAAATGGTCCATAAACAACGTTAGAGCTGTTTCTACTTCTCATTATCTGGCATTGAGTGGTCTAAATCAGGAGTCAAGGCTAAAAAAGGAGTAATAGATTTTGTTTACCTCGGAAAAGGCCCTTGTTGGCAACGAGGCCAGTAATAGAATACATGCAGAACCAGCTCCCCTATATTCCCATTTACACCCTAAATTCACTGATCATACGTGAAGGAGAAGTTCTATATCTTGCATTTATCAGACAGCGTTTGGGGATTAGGTGTTCTAGGAGAGACAGTTCAAACAGAAACACCGAGAGCATTTACTATAACTTGGCCACCGAAACTCGCTAGGTGTGCCACTCCACCGTGTCGTGAAAACTAATACTAATATTTCACAGCTCAGCCGAACACAATGTCAAGCGGAGTAGACAACGTCGATTCGGATCCAGAAGGCCCGCGAAACATGCGCAAATGGGTTCGGAACGGGTGTACTGCCATCGGGCTGGTCGAATGGACAACAACGGCGCCAGTGGCCTTGAATAAATGTCTAGCACCCATCACACAGAGAATATCCACCGAAGTAAACCGACCATAAGAGGCTCATATCTTGAAGATTTAGGCCCTCTTCTACGATGAACCACAGACCGCCCTGATTTTGTTGGAATCTAGGGGTTCTGGTTCACCCTGAGGTCTCAACTCCACCTGTATTACTTAAACCCCATCTCTGTCCTTTGTGCTAGGATTGCTGGAAAAGGACACACTGTCCTTTTTCCCACATATATTCTTTTTGTATATCTTATATCGGATCTCGAGTACTGCATTTAAATACTGTTGCACAGCAAGGAGGCGAAAAGGTTGCAAATCTACTGTATTGGTGTTGTTATTGTTGAAGGTCTGGAGGTGGTGCGCAGCTGCAGTGGATGTGGGCAATATGCCAGCCTAAGTGGGTCACCTGACCACGTAACAGAATATACATATTGAATACATCACACATCACGGCAATTTTCCCGCTCCGAAACTTATCTGGTGATTGGCCAGTTATGGTGCTTAAACCACTTCTTATGGTTGCAAATAGGAACCGTAGATCCAGAATCGAATAGCCATCGATCACAAGCGGTAGAGATGGCGTAGGCGTGAGCTTTAGGTTGACTTTCAGGTTGAAAGGGGGCACTAAGGTCAATATCTACCTGATTGGCGCCGCAAGGAACGTTGAAGTATGCTTCTTGTACCGTGACGTCGCTCGCAGTTCTCGCAGGAGCGTCACCATGGTCTTCTACGGCCGTAGAAGTCTCACGGCACCAGTGAGTAGCGGGAATAGTACCGCCAGCACAAGATGATCCCCTAGAAGAGCCGCTCGCAGCTCCCTTTGAAGCAGCTTGCAACACCTGCTTCAAGATGCGTTGGTTGCAGCCATCGTGCCCTTTCTTCTTGTTGAGCTCTCCACACTCAAAGCACCACACAACTGTAGTGTTTAAAGCGCTAGGATCCTTCTGATCAGGTCCCTAAGCGCCTCCGGAGCCTCCTTTGCCCTTATTATTGCCCTTGTTCTTCTTTCGCTGCTTGTTGCCGTGATTAGCGCCAGCAGGTGTGGTAGGAGTGGCATGAGTTTGTTTGTTTTGTATTTAACGTGGGGGGTAGCTCCTCAGTAGTGCAAACCACGCCTCCCAGAGCCTCTGCATCGCAGGGTTGTGGAGGTCTCAAGAAAATAAGTACAGTCAGTCCCGCTCACGGGCCCATCCCCGTTGTTGCGGCGGTATGACCTTGGGGTCATCCATCTGGTCCTTCAGGAACAGCTATCTATCGGAATCTAGACAGATGATGCTGCAATGCCGCCATTAGGCTCGGACGCAAGTATGATAGAAGACGTTGCCAAAGCCTCGTCCATGCAGACGATGCACATCGGGTCCGGTAATGCTGACTATCTACTGATCAAGATCTCTGGTACTCTGTATCGAGACAGACCGGAGACGGCCTGCCTTAGATTGGTCAACGCACATCCTATCCCGCGAACTGTATTTGTAGTTCATAACCGCCACCTCTATCAGACAGTGCTCCGATCATTCCGCCCGGAGTTCATCCAACACCAATGTCCAAGCTGGCGGCTCAGTACGTTGGCTGAGAACTGGGAAAAGCTGCCAGCAGATTCGAGAAATCCCAGCAATACTGGCAACTTGTCTACTTCAAGTCATTTACATGAACACGCTCTATTATTAACTAAGCGGTCCCATAGGTTATCTTTACTCTGTTCATTTTGCAGATAGTTATAGCAGCTATCGATGGATCTTGTTGCTCGTTCGAAAGACGAGCTCTGCGCCTGATCTTAGAACGGGGATTCAGTGCACCATTGACTGAGGCTTCAGCCATAGGGACATCTGAGAACACCAGATCCAGTACATTTCCATCGTCATGTGTTGGGACATCTGGTTCAGAAATCAGATCCAGT